AAAAGAATTTGACCAGTAACGCACGCTCGACTAACGAAGGAGACATTGCACATAAACTTTCAATCTGATTGATTTGAAACATAACACATTGCTTTTTAAAACCCAAGCAGCTGGCACTGTGCGAATGGATGTAACATGAAATTTGAATAAAGAACTTCCTCTTCTGCTCAGCATACATGATATTGCAGATCACGAGACTTTATCGGTGTTTATGTAGATTTTACACTTTTTTAAAAGTGTTGCCATACTGCACTTGAACTAAATCAGAAAATGTGCATAATAAAAGGTAATTTTATTCCGTATTAATTTGCATTTGTTAATATTCTATTTTCTATTACACAGCGCCAAATATTCCCCTAGCGGTGACGTTTGGAACTAATTTTTTTTTCGCGGATTCCTTTGTCCCCCCCCCTCTTGTTTAATCTTCCTACAAAATGTGGCATCATTCTCGCAAATAGATCGCACTACAGAACATTGTGAGCACTGTCAGTTTAATTATGCCCACCCGATATATATATATATATATATCCACTCTGTTACTTGGTTCAGTGAGCTCAGTTTCTTTATTTTTATATACTATTTGTAAATTGTGCATTTTGTGCTTTAAAATTATCGAATTATGTTGTTCTTATCTTCTGGTTAATGTTTTTATGCCTTTAGTAAATCTGTATGGAATATTTGTAGAATTATCAACAATTCAGAAGTTGTTTAAGTGTTTAAGCCTACTTATTTTTACCATTTTGGCCATGTTTGTTTATATTTGAAACTTAGCAGAATAGTGGATTTGTTGCCAATCTAGAGAAATTACACTTTGCAACAACAACGATAAAGCCTTCTTTTTTATTGGGAATTAAATCATGCTTAATCCATTCTAGAATTTATTCGAGGAAATAAGTGTTTAAGATTTAAACAACATAATATTTTAATATAGATATTTTGAGGTGGTTTTTTTTTTTTTTTTTCCCCCATGTCGCAAAGTGAGACATGAATTAATTGAATGAGAAATACTGAATGTCTGTGAAAAACTGTTTCTTTTATACATCCTTTCAGATTTATTATAGTATTTGATTGGAACATGTAGAAATGATTAACTAATTCTTCAGATCATATAATTTCATGCATTCTGAGTTATAAAATAAATGAAATGTAATGTTGTTAAGTGAACCTAGTACCAGAGTATGGTAAACAAATATAGTGAATTTTAAAGAGTGCATTTATTGTATTGTGGTTTATGCGCTATCGATGAAGTAGATTTCATTCAATCCAATAAGGTTAAATGAAATGCAAGAAAAAATATGTATAATTTAATACAGGGAAGTCATGTGGTGCGGTGTGTACACCACGACTTCCCTGTATTAAATCCACACCACAACAGTTGTGGTGTGGTGTACACATATGGTACAGGGAAGTCATGTGGTGCACACATCTTTTTTTTTGGATATATTGCTTTTCAAAGAAGTAAATTACTTATGGGAGGATATTTATTTTTATATTTTATTTTTATTAATATCTGGGGTCGCAAAAAAATCTCAATGATAAGAAAAGGGACACAAATGAAAAACGTTTAAAAAGCCATGAAATAAGATAATAAAACCAGTTCCAAATTTGGGCCTTTTAGATACCCATGTTCAAGTGGAGGACTACATTATTTAAAATTTGATGTCTCTAGGTACTGTTGTTTTTTCACAATGCAAAAACCATACATACATTCATGCAGATTCTTCATTATTTAATTTGTTTAAGTATAATGCAGGACTCTTAACATTTGGTGGCAACAATTTGAAAAGTGATTCAGTCTTTTATAGTGAACCAACGCAAAATGCCAAAACGAAATTAATAGCCTTTCTGGGCTAACAATAAAATATATAAAACAATATAACACTAAATAAAATACATAAAAGCAGCATAGATTTAGAATTTCTGATAGACAGTTGTGCATGCTGTAGATCAAAAGTGTTTTTTTCCCATAGAGTGCTGCCGTTGCTTACTTTGAAATCTTCGATTTTGTTACTCAGAAATTCGTTAATGTTTTACAAAACATGAAATACACAATAAAACAAATTTGAAATTCAAAATTTGGGTTTCTTGGTGTCCATATTTGGGTGGAGGACTATGTTATTCAAAATTTGATGGCTCTAGATATCGTTGTTTTTTCACAATGCAAAAAAAAATGCATACAATCTTGCAAATTCTTCATTATTTAATTTCTTCAAATATAATACACGGCAATAACATCTGGTGGTAACAATTTGAAAAATGATTCAGACTTTTATTGTGATTCAATGCAAAATCCCAAGTTGAGACTAATAGCCCTTCTGAGCTATTGATATTTTTTAGAGTTTATGTGTCAATAGTGCATAAACTCTAAAAATAGCAACCTCTTTAAAAACAAACTCTATATACTAATGCATAAGGAATATAACAAGCCATCACGAGTCTCTCTTATTACACAATGAAGTAAGATGATTGTCTCAATAAAAAACATGGGACATATTTTATGATACTGCATGTATAGGTAGCAGCATTTATAAATAACTATAATGATGAGGGTTTAAAATGATGAAGACTGGGTGTATAAAACAACTTCTTAACCACAAGTTTAAGCAAAATGCACGAAATGAATGGAATTTATCACTGATAGAGAAAAGTGCCACTGTTTTTGAAAGAAATAATCAAAGTACCTTCTATTAATAGGAAACTTATGTATTGCTTTGAATGCAAGGAAAAGAAATGTAATGACTGCACTGCTTTTGTGAAATCCTTCTTGGGAAAAAAATAGCATCAACATTGAAGAAAAAATTGAGAAATGTACCATAATGAAAACAACATAATATTTCTCATCCATAATTTTACACCATTTTCATCCATCCATCTTTTGAATGCAAATGAAAACATCTGGGAATTATATTTTGGCTTCATCTCTTTTTTTCAAAAATGATCACAGTTTTAATTTTGTACTCTCTGCTAAGCAGGAAAGCATTATAGTGAGGTGAGACTTTTTGTGACCCGTTGTTTTTATGTGAACCGTTTTTGTTCCTTTCCTACCAGTTGTTTTATTTCCTATCATATTAAATATTATTGGAGTTTCAGCTATCTTATGTGAGAGTAAATAGCTTTTTGGCCTTTGTAATTCAAAAAAATATTTCTGGAAACTTACCAAATTGTTGTCCCAATCTTTTGGAAGCCAATACAAAACCTATATTTTTTTACACAGAACAAAATTATTTCATGCCATAAATCGAGTACACGAACTAATACACTGTTTCTTTTTACCAATTAATACAATCTGGCGATTTTCTAGAACCCAGATCACAAGACTTTCTTCTAGGGTAGACCATTTAATTATTCCTTTATGCAAAGTACATTTATTCTTTGGCATATTAATTATTACATTTACATTATTACTGAGATGTTATTTCATTTTTCTTCAGATCACATATGGAGCTTTCACCAACACCAAATATCCTTGCTGCAGCATGATTTACATTTTCTGGAGCTATCACCAACACCAAATATTTTTGCTGCAGCATGATTTCCATTTTTTTCACATGTTGGATGACTTTGCATTTGAAACCAGCATAATGTTTGTTTCATTTGGCAGCAGCCATATTTATTACTAAAAAGAATACCAGATCAACTGTATTTCAACTACTGCAAATACAATTTACTAAAGCCTTCAATGTTCACTTCAAAAGACTACAGAAAGAGAAAACATCTGACTCACAATTCCATGAATTGATTTGGAAATGTGTTCTTAACCCAAATCATGTCCCCCTTTTCTCAAAACCCTAGAATAACATTCTTGTGCACACCTACATTGAATAAAACCCACACTCTTTGCAGATTTATCTACTCCCTCAAGCATTTTCCCCACACACATATTATTTCCTTTATCACTTGTCAATTCAGAATACCACAGTTCGAAAACCTGGGAAAAGTCTTCAAATGAATGATATCAAAAGATAAGAATATCGCACATGTATCTTTCAGATTTCCTCATAAAGAAAAGGGTGCACATTTATGGCAAATATACCTAAAAATTAAAAAAATGTAGTCTGAAATTACAGGTATGCATTACACACTAAAATAATGGTAATAAGGAAAAGATAATGTAATAGAGTCCTGATTATCCAGCATATAATAGGTTGAATACAGTTAAGTTATTAGGAATGTATGATAATGTGGAAGCAAAGATTCATTATTCTGACAGATTTATTTCAAAAAAAAAAATTATAAACTTGATGTAATATAAGATGAACATAATTACTGCATACTGAAATAAATTTGTAATTTTATGCTTGTAAATATAAAATACTAAAAATTTTTCTATCAGAAAATAAATTTTGCCCCTCTACAATACATTAAGCACTTACAAACAATAATACTGAGATAAACACAGAAAGATGTAATAGCAAGTATTTCAAGTTCTGCATACTGCTTGGGAAAAAATGTTAGTGTAATGGTCAAAGCTGCTGTTCTTAGAATTATGATTTTCTTGATAGCTATATGGACAGTCATTAACATTATGACATATACATAGTGATAATAACAATAATAAAATTATTATTAATAAAAATCATAGTAATAATTTCTAGTATGAATTAAGCTTTCACAGAATGCCAGATAATTCAGATTCCGCTGCACATATCAAAATTGTATCATATACATCAATACTTATGTTTTCCACTAACATAAGAGCCACCAACTGCCTAACAGAACTTTGTAATATATGCACAGAAGTTTTCTTACATGAACATAAAACTGTAAATGAACTGCAGAGTATTTTTGGAAAAGATTAGCTTAATGTATTTTTATGTGGTAAATAATAAAATGGAAGAGAATTTAAATACATATTATGAAGTAATAATATGGCAAGGTTTTCACTATTTTAAGTTACTGGAATTTTGAAACTACTGTTAATTTTATGAAACCATTTTCATTATATTTAATGAAGAAAATCACATAAAAACAAAGCCTGCATTGTTGAATGGTCAGTAATATTTTTTTTTTTTTTTTTTTTTTTTATTGTACACATAAACTAATTTCAATATGAAAATGTATATAATGCAAATGAACAATTTAAAAAGATTACCCCTGCATTAGTATAATGAATTTACTTTGCCAAGAATATTTACAAATATATTTCAATAATTGTGCTCTCGCTATCATATCATCCCATGCAAATAAAGTGATAAAAATAGTTCGCATTTTTGATTTTAAATCAAGCACTTGAGCTCGCCTTCTAATTTGAAATCAATTTTTTAAAAAATTATAATTTAATGATTATTAAAATGCAAATTTATGTAAATTTATTTCATTTTGTTCACATTTTCATATAATTTTGTAAAAGAAAGTATAAATAAGGGGGGGGGGGTAATTGCTTCTCTATTCCACATTTATTTACAAATACATTAATGTGAAAACATTTAAAAACATATATTCATATAAAACTAGTTTAAATTCTGATTTTTTAATGAAAAAAGTGAAACGATATTTTCCATTAGCTTAACATTTAAATAAAATCTACTCAGTGGGGTGACAGATTTGTTGCATTATAGAACAGCACAGGTCCATCAACTGCAAATATTCATCTGCTCCATCTATTAAACGTTTATCACAAATCTGTGGGGGGAGAAAAAAAAGAATGCTTATTCATGAGAAGCATTTTATATTACTATTTCAGAAAACAAATTCAATTTTACACCTTTTGTCAAATTATATGCACAATGACATAAATTTCATTCATCATAGTCTCATGGTTAACTGTATAGTACTGCAATAATGTAAATGCATACAGGTTGTTTTGAAATGTTATACATTATTAGGCTTAATTTTTCTCATATAAAGGTACAAATTTATTTGTAACTCTAACGTTGCATACTAATAACTACGAACAGGAATATCATAGGCTTCCAAGAATTCAAACCTAATTTTGTATCTTAAAGAACTGAATCAAAAATTTTATAGAAGAAATCAATGTAGAGAAACTAAATCGCAAATTTAATGTACAGAGAATTGGAAAATTTTAATAAACTGGGAAATAAACTAATGAAGGGAATGTAAGCTAATAAATAATAAAAGAGAAAAAATAAGAAAAAAGGACTTTTAGAATAAATTGCACTGCAGTACTTTGTTTTAACCTTTCCAATTTTAGTGATAGTTCATTTTCTGTGATTTTGAATATTGTGTCAAGTGCTTAGTTTGGTAATAACGGCATATATTGTACTCTTTTTGCACAGCTATTATGTCATTAATAATAAATTTATTATTTAATTCTATGACAAAATAATTCACACTCCATACTGCTTTAAAACCACGACATTTAAAGTCTCCTTTTCTCTACTTGCCTAGACTTGAGATTGAAATGGCAATGGTGGGTAAAAATAAAGTAAAATAAATAGAAGAAATGATCATATAAGCCCCTTAGTCAGTATACAACTAACAGACATAACTGACAATACCATGTGCCCTACTACAGCAAAACTAAGAAAACTGGCAATGCTTGTTCTATGGCAATGGCAGACAGCAAAATGCAAATATGTCACACCAATAATGCCACATGTGGTTTTTATTCATTACTTCTCAACTGACTATCAGGAGTTGCATTAGAGCACAAAATTTGGTTTTCTTAAAATTTTTTCATGTAAAATACAATTTAAGACACAGACCGGATTTGGTCTGGGGCTGAAGTATGCTAACCTGCTCTAGACCAAATATCTAGAAACCATTCAGTGAAAACAGGAAGTCATAGATGGTTAATGCATATGGTTTGTAATATTTCAGATTTGGTTGCAATCAAAACATGCATTATAAAACAAAGAAGCTATAGGAAGCATAGTTCTTGGGATGGTTTTTTTATGACAACTTTCTAAAAAACTTTGACAAAACATATGACTACTAACTGCATTCCATGCTATGTTCCACAAGTTTTTAGTCAAAATTAAATTTTCATGTATAATGCCAAACTGGAAATTGTAATATAAACAGAACTCAATATATCCTGCTACATATACAAAAAATCAATTTGTAGAAATTGTAGAAATGCAGTTAAAAAAATTGCTTTGACAACAGTACACAAAAACCAAAAATTTTGAACTTGATTAATAAAAAATGGAAATTTGAACGTATTAGGAGTACAAATAAGTCTCCTCCGTTTGACAAACAATGGCACCCACCAGTAAGTTATGGTTAAAATTGTCTGATGTAAAATGTCATATTGTAAGGTAAGGTTCGACATATGCTAACAACCTTGAAATATTAGTGATTTTATATCAGCATCATATATATTTTTCCATGGGAAAATCTCGAGTTTTGAGCCAAGATTTACCTCTTTAATTTGAAGAAATTTGCAGCTGAGATGCATCGATTACATGTAGAAGCATATGGTGAGGCTTAAATGAGAGAAGTTCCCTTGAGTGGTTTTAAAAGTTTAAAAATGGTGAATTATGTCGAATATAAAGAACAGAGCAGGAGAATGTAAGTGTTGAAGATGCAGAATCGGAAGATTATTGGATTCATGTCAAACCCAAGTAAAACTTTCACTTACATTAGGAGTGACTCAACAAAAAATTTCCCATCATTCAAAATCATTCGGAATGATTCAAAAGCAAGGAAATCAGGTTCCATATGAATTGAAGCCAAGAAACATTGAACACCGATTTTTTACATTTGCTCGCCAGACATAAACAAAAGAATTTTCTGCCACGTATGGTACCTGGTGATGAAAACTGGATCCAATACAATATCCAAAGAAGAAATCACAGGTACCACTTGGCCATCCTTCAGCATCGATAGCCAAGCCGAATATTCATGGGGAAAAAATCATGTTGCGTAATATGGTGGGATCAACTTGGTGACATGTATTATAAGTTGATCAAACCATTACTAGTATTCCTTACTGAACACAAGTGATCAGACTGAGGCGAGTACTCAAAGAAAAATGTACCCACTTCTATTCCAGAATGACAAAATTATTCTCCTGCATGATAATACTCATCCATATGCTGCAGTGTCGATCAAAACCCACTCAGAAACCATGGAGGTAGGAAGAAGATGGAGTCACCCTAAACAAGTTTCTCCCGTACCCTGCTCTGAAGCACCGGCGATCCCTACGTGGTGACCAAAACATTGGGTCATTTAAAATTGAGTTCAATGGGATTTGATGCATTCGGATGTAAATATTTTGTAATTACGTCTTAAATATACATATAAATGTATATATTTTCTTTTTCTACAACACTTCAGAGTCCTAAGTATATGAAAACAACATATTTTTAAACAACATTTCTTTCTGAACGGAATTAAATGCTATACTTTTCACAGGACAGTTTTCTCAGAATGGTTTAATTTGAATTAAATATTTTCACAAGTTTTCGTTAATTACATTAGAAAAAAAAATAAGGTAATTCGATTTTATTCGGTTAAGGTACAAAAATTAAGATCAAAATTTATTGTATTATTAATATTAAAATTATGCATTATTTCTTTTCTATTTATAGAGCTTCTTCCTAAAATACTTTCTTAAATATGACACGATTTTTTTGGCTTCTGAGGCATCTTTTAAATCGAAAAATGTAAGTCAATTTATAATTAATGCTCTATTCAGTTCATTTTAAATTAGAGAATTATTAGGAATTAGCGAAATACTTTAAATAGTACTTGACTTTCTCTGAAGATTTCTGCAAGTTAATAAAATAAGTTTTTTTTTTTTTTTTTTTTTTTTTTTTTTTTTTAAAGTATTATTTAAAACTTGTACCTGAGTTATTATAAAATGTAAAGGGAATAATTCTTTTAATTATACTTATCAGATTTTTTTTTACCCTTCATTTCAACAATACATATTCCAAACTCTTTATTACGTTCTTAAGTGTGCATCTCATAACATTTGCTTTACAATACCTTTTAACAGATTGCTTTCCAATACGAACAATTCTTGCTTAAATAGTTTTATAACGTATTTGTCAACAGGATTTCAATTTATGTTTACAATTCAATATTAAGGTTATTATATATTTAGATAACATTTATAATCATTATAAATTAGATACATTCAATAATTAGATTTCTTCACAGTACTTTCACAGTTGTTTATAAGTGAATAAATTCTTCATTTCAAATACATTTATAAATAATTTAATGACCTGCATACGTTAAGAAGCCAGCATAAAACTCGAATTTCCGAGAAAAAAAGACTTGCGTGGGAAACATTTAACAATCTGGAATCAATAAGAGGACCATTCATGATCGAACCTTCTTTGGCATGATATACAAATGTTCTCACCACCGTCGATTACCCTATTTTCAAATTCTGAATAAGCTGTCTTGATGATGTAGCACGTTCGCATGGTCACATCATCTTGACCGCACATGGTACTTCCGCCAAATTCGCAAATGTATCCCTCTTCTGTTCCACACATTTGTGTAAAACTGTACATAATTTTACACAAATGTATGGTTCCAAATCACGGGAAAGCTAACTTTTTGGCATATCTGTGTGCATATTTATTAATTTTGACGAGGATTGCAGCATTTGATGGTAATTTTATTTTTAATTAACCCAAATAAGTAAAACGTGTAAGCGCAAAGTGATTATTTTTCAGATATATAAAATTAAACGATGAGTTTAAATGGGCAGCAGTAAAGCCTCTCCTCTAAAAAATTTTAAAAGGTACATGTTAAATAAATATGGATGTGAAAAAATTTGTTTTATTTAAAACATTTTGGTGTTGGAAAAAAAAATAAAATAGCGAATACTCTATAAAGGGTATCGAAAGACGTATATAATTTTAAATGTACCGTAAGGTGTTTTTCATTCTTTAAGCATAACATTTTTCTTAAAATTCTATATTTTGGAGTTCAACAGCTTAGAATTTTATAAAACAATTCATAATCAAATCGCTGTTGTTAGTTATCGAAAAATAACCAAGATGTGACTTCTGCGTAAATGTCACTAAACTATACAAATTGCTATTATCCATCACACTATGAATGTTTCTTTCCTGCGAAAGTGTCCCTTTTTTTATTTGTATGGAACTGTCGTGTGTCGAAATACTATCAGACCCTGTCAAGCGAGCTTCTGAATGTAAACAAAGAACACCCCATCTGGTGACCCAAGCTTCAAAGCAATGCTTCACTTCTAGCGCCGGATGGCTATATAATATTTAACATTCTGAATTTGAATTTAAGCCATCAAAATGACAACTTCAGGTGTTTAAGAAAGAAGAAAAAATTATGTCTTTCTGGTGTTAAAGCTTTTATGATAGAGTAAGCATATGTTAGGTAGAGTCATTGATAAAACAGTTCAGGTTATATTTTAATTTAGGCACTCCTCATTCTTTTCAATATGTTAGCTTGCACATCTGTGTATATCAGTCATTATTATTTTCTCATCAATATTTTTGGAAAATTCTAAATATCAGATTTTCCCCCTTCTCAACATTATAAAACAAAAAGAAATTTTATCCTTATGGAAAATTCTAAATATCAGAATTTCCCCCCTCTCAGCATTATAAAACAAAAAGGAATTTTATCCTTAATCTGAAATCTTGAATTGAAGTCAACTTCATTTTTTATAACTTTTAAAATATTATGTGATTTTATAGATTTTTTACATATTTTTAAGAAAGGGAAATTTTATTTGTGCAGACAATTTCACATTTTTTATCACTGTTCATAATGAATTTTGTCCAGTTGGAATTCTTTGCTTTAATTTTCCTTTAGTCCAACAGAAATAAGTTTAACCTGAAGAATAACAATTTTTAACTTAGCACTCTTCTGCCAGTTACTTATATGCTTACATGTTATGGTAGTACCTGGGAACCTTGTTTCTTACTTCAGTTTTGCTCCCAATCCAGACACCCAATATCTTAAATGATCGAATAACCAGACTACCAGCTAAAAAAATTAATAAATAAAATAGAATAATATGAAAAAACTCTAGGAATGGAGAATATTGATTAAAACACATGCTTCCTCAATAAAAATGAAACAAGTGTGCCTGGCATCCTGTACATTACATTAAAACACCAGCTAGCTAAGGCACAGTGACCAATGACAATATATTTATTGATGCTGCCCAGGATCACATTTTCGGCCCTTGAGTGGTTAATATTTTTCTGTTTGACCTAAACAATAAAGTAAGCCCCATTGCTATCATGTCTATATGCCCCCAATGTTGCTATGCCCAGTATTGCCTTACTAGATTTAAACTGATGATCTAAAATTCCGGAATTCCAATCAAAATTCAGAATCCCGATGATTCTGGGTCTTGGACTATGTACTCGAGTATTCTCACTATACACTTTTTTCCTCTGAAGAAGATATAAAAAAGGTTTTAATAAATTCATTAAATCAAAATATTTTTGTTTTGGAAATAGACATAATAGAAAAATTTTCAGTATTAGACAGTGTAAAAATGTAGTATTGCTTTTAGTTTCAGAATTACACCATTTTACAATAGAACTTTTCATTACCATACCAGATAGATAATGCAGTTGAATGTTACTTATAAATGTTTCAAAATATTATTTTAGAAAACTCACGGCAATCTTTTCACAAATTGCTGATTTCTGCTTGTCACTAAAAACATCACTGAATACAATTTCATCATGGAGCTGATTTATAACTTGGCCAGTTGTATAACCTTCATACATAAGATTCTGTAAATAAATTACATATAATAAATAAAATTTCAAAATTTGAATTAAATTAATAACCATAATTTTTAACTTAAATGGTGTATCTTTAATAAGTGAGTACACAAAACATGTAAAAACTTTATTTCACATTAACTTTTGATTCATTATATACTTAAATAAAAAAATGGTACCTTTCAGCTCATACACCACTGCCTTAGAAGTTTTTCTTCCTTCTTCATTTTATTTATTCATTTATTTGTGGGCCACACTAGATAAATCATATTACATCAGACAGTCACTTCATTCATTTCTCAAGTTATCTAGTTACTCAGAAAACTTCTCTCTTGAGAATAAATGTGCCATGTAACACAATTCCATGAAATTTACATTCACTACATTTTCTACCATAAAGTAAACATTTAGTACTTCTGATCTAATCAAAAATTTGATTAAGCAGATAGATCTTTGTTTCTGTCTCGAGGTATACAATATTTCACAAGGCACTGCAAAATTAGATGAAATTGGCACGATCGTCAATGTTTACTGCAGGCCTGCATCCTACACGGAAAACCATCCTACAGGTTGTAAAACGTTTAAGGGAGACAGGCTACGTGACTAGCTTACTTCGACCCAGCAGAACAAGATAGAGAATTGAAAACTGTGGCCTCTCAAAAAATCACGTTTGGAAAGCCCTAAATGAATTAGGTGCTCATCCATACCAGCCAATACCTAATCAGATTACTAGATGGGGATGTCAAGAGATGTTTTGAAGGTGCAACTGCGTCATGAACCAGAGAGAGGTCCAGCCAACATTCTTGGCAGATATAGTATGGACAGATGAGGCATGTTTTTTGCAGAATGAAATGTACAAAGCCCCGTTCACATGCAACGCTCCTTCGCACAGCTGCCATTAGCAAGAGGAGAAAAAGGAGACATGAAAGAGTTTCGTCTTTAGGACCCATTCAAAAGACCACCGTCTTCCTTCCCTTTATACCTAAGCCTCTGTGAACAATCACGTCTCCGAATTGGCCATTTCTAATACTGTTTTCATATTTTAACGTTGTGTACTGTTGTTATTTTGTATCTGTCTTTCGCAACTGTACCTGAATTTCGTAATGTTTCCTAAAAACCATATGCTTTTTAATTATTATTATTATTATTTTATAAGCTGTTATTTAGTTCACTCTTGGTGCTTGTCGCTTGGTTAAAAGATGGTCATGGATTTTTAAATTGCTTCCCGATAAGATATAGAACTTAAACTTTGTACATACACTGCTTGTGAATGTGGTGTCACGCTTTTAATTTTTAGAGGATTAGATTTTTTTCAAATTTAAAGTTGAAATGATTTTTTGCAAATATTACCAAATAAACCAAAAATCTCAGAATATTATAGTTTGCACCATAACACACTGTGGAGAAAAAAAAATTAAATGAAATTTTTAGTGTAATTTTTTTTTAAATATTTTAGAAGAATTTTTTAAAATCATTCATATTTTTAGACTTTTTGAAGACCATTAATTTTAAAATTTCATACCTAAAAATATATCGGTTACAAACTTCCGACATTTTCACAGCTTATAAAACAAACCTTTCGCATTTAAAAAAAATGATAAAGGAAATTAATCTGATGATTCTTTTACTTTTTTAAAAGCTATGCAATGAAGCAGAATGGGAAATATTGGTTTTTCTTGGGTATCAATTCGAAACATCCGTTTTAAAGTAATAATCTCCTTATACCACACTATTTTTATGACATTATTTATGCTATAGAAGTTGTTATTGTTGCCAGTTTTTAGTTCAGCGTGAGATTGGAGATATTTCTGAGTTAACTTTCTCTTAAGATGCATTTTGCATTCCATTGTGTTTAACGTTCTTATTAGATTGAAGCATAACTACTGATTATACTTAGTGATATTCTAAACACTTGTAGGAGTATTTCTGTGGAAAATTCCAAAACTTTGAAGTGTTTCTGTTGATAAAATAAATTTAATTAAGCAATCATCAGATTTGAGTGCAATGACAATCATTTACGAACAATTATCAATCTATTACAAACCCACACGCACGCAACAATATTATAATTAATTAATGTATTAAAATTGTTTTGAACAAATTTACAAAACAAAAACAGGTAAAGAAAAATTTTGCTTGCGTTTTATGATTTTTTGCAATTGTTCTGGCCACATAAGGTTTTAAAAAAAGGTTTGTAATTTATGTTTATATTTACCAATTGAATAAATAGCACTAGGTTTGATTTATATATATATGTGTGTGTATTGAGATTCAGTAATAAAATTTTAAAGATTTGAAATGATTAAATGTCTATTTAGACAGTTTGTATTCTTTAAACTGCAAATGCAAACTGAGAAACCTTTTGCATTTTTTTCGATAAATCCTTTTATTTAAAGTCCTAACACATATACAGGTATGGACTAAATTACTTATTATTTTTACTGCTTATTTAAAATTATATACTTTATAGAAACAAGGATGGGTTTTGCAAAATACTGAAAAGAAAAATTATTTGAAATGAAAATGTGACTGAGATCATATGTGTTTTAAAGATTTTAGATAAAAGTGTATTTTTATTTTTTTTCCCTCAGAAATTAATTCATTAATTGCAAAATCATTCTTTGAAGTTATTAAGAAAACTCTAATAAATACAATAAAAAAACTGGGGGGGGAGACATTGAAAATTGTAGGAGAAGAAAGTCATTTTAATTGTAAATTTTTTCTTCAAAAATTTAAATTAAAAAAAATTAGTAGCAAAAACTTCTTTTTCAGCTTAAAATTATTTTGTGTTACAAAAACCATTTAGTAGTATTCATAAAAGTAGAATGAAAATGCTTGAATTTTTTTTAAAAAAAAATCATTCAAAAGGTAACGAGTCCCTGGTCGCGCTTGAAGCCTCTATGCACTTGTCTCAGCTTTAGTTTTAATTTGAACCATATTTCTGGAATACCCAGCATCAGCTAACCTTGTCTGTATTTGTCTATAATTTCTGTATCTTGTACAGTTCTATCTAATTTTTGAGTGGATGCTATCCCAGACATCTATCAGCTTGACTGTTTCGATGACAGTCCAGTGAGCAGTAACTAAAATTAAGTTAAACTGCAGAAACCTCGTTGCAGTATTCTTTCGATAAATCTCACGCAATTGCTCTGCTCCCGAGAGGTAAGGAACATTGAACCAAGTTCTACCTCCAATTTGGCGAAGCAGTTAATGCTTGTCCCATGTGAACGGAATGCTTTGGAAGAACCGGTTTTTCGCTACTGGTCGAATCTGCTCTTGTGAACGGAGCTCAATAGGCAGAACACTTAATACTGTGCACTGGGGAAAAATCCATCATGTTCTGCCGGCAGTAGACATCAAATACAGTTTTTGATTAATGTTTGGTGTGGAATTTATAACAGGCTAATCAGAACAATATTTTACCAGGGTACGTTAACGGCCGCATGATATTTAGAAATTCTGCAATACATAATACCCGATTTTGTTGAGAACCTGCTTTTGTTTCATCTCCGGAATGGGTTGTTCCAACATGATCGCGCGCCTGTGCACAAGAAGTTACAAGTGAAGTAGTACCTGATGGAGGAATTCGGAGAATGAATAATAGGGTATGGTGGTTTAAAAACATGGCCTCCACGTTCACCTAACCTGACTCCAAAGGACTTTTTTCTGTGGAGATACCTCAAACAGCAGATGCATGCAACCCCTTCAAATACATTGCAAAACCTTCAACAACGCATTACAGATGTTTGTGCAAACGTGTCACCTGCTATGCTACAACGCATGCAACATGAAGTTCTAACGAGGGTCCAGATGTGCATGTCAGCTGACAGACAGAAGTTTGAACATCAAAAATAAAGGTAGCTTGTGATAACTAGTTGTTTTTTCCTATCTAAGATCATTTCGTGACATCACAGTGTAGAAAATCATGAAAAAACAAATGCGCGTTTAAAACTTTCTGTTCTTAACATTCATGTCCACAAGGTGTCTTTTCATACTAAATCAACAATGACTTGCAAATTTGTAATTCACTTTTTCTTTTTATCTTGTATTGTTTTCGAGATAGGAATGCTAACTCTGCTGTTTTCTACTAGGTGGCATTGTAAGCTATCTCATCTAGCAGTGCATAGCCACTTTACTATACGCAGACACCACTTTTATGACTATAGCTGCAGCAGTTCGGCAGTTAAACGGGTGGTACCAAACTTTAGTGGGCACCCTGTGTGCATACATACACACACAATTGAGTAGTAAAAAAACTGTATATGCACTTTAAAACATGTTACACATGCAAATATACTTCTAAATCTCAGTGGTTGTGAGTTCAACATATAGTACAGACATGTTAAATAGGTAGCCCTCAATTCATTTTTGTGCAGCTCTTGGTTTACCCATGAAAATAACAAAAAATACGAATTAAGAAAAACAGCGAGACATATATACATTTTGAATGCTAAAAAAGGTTCTTGAGATAGCCTTTAGATATTATTTTCTCAAATGACAGTGAAAAAATGCCAGCCCATTTACAGAATGGAATTAGCAGAGATTCAATGCAACTCTAAAGCAAAAATTTAGTGATGTTAGTATCCTTGAAGTTTACACATACCTGTCTGCATGGTTCCGAGAAAGCTGAAATGTTACATTGATGCGATTTCCGTGTTCGGTAGTATGTATAAGTACGAAAAACCTTTCTCACTTATCAAGAGAAAAAAATCCCTAACAAGATAAGTTAAAATTCATTCATCTGACTTCTTAAAATGTAGCACATCTCCAAACATCTGAAAGCTAGTTGTAGGGAAATCATTTCAGGTGTCGGGAAAGAAACAATAGGCATCTATTTACAAATAAGATTTCCTCATATTCCTTCTATTAAAAATATATATATATACAGTATTACTTAAGATTTTATGTATTTACTCACTTTTAAATACATCATTAAGCATGAAAATGGCTTTTTTGCTCTTTGTGGCCCATGCAACTGTAAAACAATAATTATTTGGCCCACATGAGGTACTGAGCTTGACATGCCTGGTGGACCAATGATTCACCAACAAATACCATATGCATCATTATGTAATATTAGTCAATGTTACAAACTGATATGCAATGTGATCATTCTAGAAAGAGGAGCAATGATGTAAATACAGCTGCTATTCAAGCAATAAAAAAATATTCTGAAATAGTATTGGAAGTTTGAAAATGTCCACGGACTACAGAGGCAAAACTATGGAACTGAACCACCAACATGCATAAGCTGTGCATGCCTTTGCAAAAATTTTGATAGCTATGGAAGAGTGGCAGATAGACATAAGGAAGGCTCAGAATGGCTTCACACAGCCACCAGTGAAACTTCTATTCAGGTGTTAAATGCATTTATATACTCAGCAGGAAAATCAACACAGCAATGTAAACTTAAAACTGAAGCGAGTATTACACAATTTTGCACACAGCAAAATGGAAAATATGTATTCCAGAGTTAGCATATATATCGAATGAATGTATTGACCCCAAAAACCAAACATTCATGTTGTGCAAGTGGTAAGTTCTCCAGGACTCAAATGTCAGATGTGAGCTATCATCAAGGGGAATCACTGGACCACTCTTTCTCCAAACTATACTTAAGAGGCAAGCTTACTTGGCAATGCTAGATGCTTTCATTTTGCCCTTCATTCATGCTCTATTTGATGATGATACCCCATCCCACTTTCATGCAGATGTGTGTGCTTATCACGATAACACTGTACTAAATTGTTAGATATGACAAAGAGGCCTGATGGACTGGCCCCTCACGATCACCTGATCTAAACGTCCCATGAGAGGGATCCTCAAATGTGCAGTGTTCAGTACACCAGGATCACTAAAGGAACAGTACCTCGGAAATGAAATGGTTTATGAAGCAATCTCAGGATTATTCTGAAAGATGTCATACTGAATGTATAGCATTTGTTGTGGCAAAGCCAGCGAACTATTAAAAATAACATTACCCTTTTGTGAATGGCATCACTTACATTTTGTGTATTCATAAATGTTTTTGCTTGTTCTGTATTTTTATGTTAGGAAATAAATAAGCATAAAATACTATCTCCTAATAATCTGGTGGCGAAAACAACCATTTACGAAACAGGAACTTGAACTTATTCTTCCTAATGTTGGATTATTTATGTTATTTTACTTCCGACATTAAAACATATTTTTGTTTTTTGTTCTTTTCTACTACTCGGGCTATGGCACCGACTGGTGAAGCTGTAGACAAAATGACACAACTGAAACGAAAGTGGAAAGCCGTGCGAAGTAATGTTTCTCGCTTTTCTACTGAAATGATACCTTGAACGATGATTTCTCAATTGAGAAGGTTGAATATATTTGTAACCGCTTAACAACTGCTTTAAACGACATGAAACTAATAGATAACGAAATTTACAACTTCCTTTCTGATGGTGAATATGAAAATGATAATTTGCAGGGTGAAAACTATATAGATACTGGTGAATCCACAATTTTCAAAGCACGAAAAATTATTCAGAACAAATTATCACCAACTGCAAATAATGTTACTGCTTCGAATATGGATACCAATGATTTGGCGCTGACATTAGGTGACCCTTCTAACTACAGCGCCTGTGACTCAATCATATAGAGTTAAATTGCCAACAATTAAACTACTATCATTTACAGGAGAAATTGAACAGTGGCAATGTTTTTGAGAACAGTTTAAATCTTCTATGGCAAATCCACATCTTTCTGTTATTGATAAAAATTTTTTCCTCAGAGGTTTTCATGCCATTTGGATCATGCAAAGCACCCATCATATTTCAAAGACATGGCCATCCAGTGGCCGAGTGAAGTGTTGTTTCTTGATGATCCTTGAGTGCGTGCAGTTGCGACTCAGCGAACTGGAGTTGTATTAAAAAAAATATCATACTATACCAAACAAACCAAGCTGGAGGTATTTCAAAATGGACATATACCAAGGTACCACAGTATATATTCATACATATGTATAAATCATAAAAGAATGAAATAGCATATATAGAATATATATTAAGCAAAATCAGCAATCTGTCTATAACATGAGGACAAACTGGAAACAGTACAGCAAAAACTTCAAAATTAAACTACACATTGCATGATCAAAAGAACAAAGACACATTTTCATGTATATTCAGGCTTACTGTTAGAAAACTTTTGATTATGTTGCCATTAAAATACATTTTTATTTTGATAGAAGAAAAGCAGTCACTTCTATTAGCAGTTTTTAGATACTGCTGCCTTATTTTACAAATGGTGCTGCAGTTCATGTCACAGATGCTCCGCAGAATTAAGATCGAGCCACTGAATTTTCCACTCCATTTTCACAATATTCAGAAAATCATGTGTTAGTAACATATGCTGCATAAACTGGATTTCTGTGCCAGTTTATGCTGCATTAACTCGCACAGAAAAGATACACAGTAAAGCTTTGCTACAATGTGGGCTGTATTATATAGTCTAAAATATAACAAAATATAGCAACTATCATGCCACAGATGCTCTGCAGAATTAAGATCGAGCCACTGAATTTTCCACTCCATTTTCACAATATTCAGAAAATCAAAAATCATGTGTTAGTAACATATGCTGCATAAACTGGATTTCTGTGCGAGTTTATGCTGCATAAACTCGCACAGAAAAGATAAACGGTAAAGCTTTGCTACAATGTGGGCTGTATTATACAGTCTAAAATATAAAGATACGCCATTATTTCCACATTTCCTTTCACAGAAAACAAGATCTTACCATAATGACCCCTCCACCAAATTTGACTGAAGGAAAAATACACTCTTTTAAATGTCAATCGCTCGGCATTCTTCACACTCAAACATGGCCATTGAACTTCCACATAAAGTGTACAGATTCCTAGCTTCACATAATGCATCAACATTGTTCCAAGGTCCAATTACGTCTAGCTTTATCAAGATAAATAATGCTAAATATTAGATGCACTAATGTGCATCTAATGTCAAGCACTATTTCTAACCTACAGTTTATATGCAGTACCTCTTCCATTTGATATCAAAGTTCACAGCTCTTGATAAATTTTCATCATGTTGACATTACATCTAAAAGTACTCTTAAACTTTTCACAGATGTTTTCAGTTGATTCCATACAGTTTTGCATTACTATTCAACCAAGCATACCATAGTACCTGTTTGTTAAACTATGAGGTTGCTGTGAACTTGATTGATCAGATATAAATCCTTAAGCTTTCTAGTTTCCAATATCTTTTACTGTTAAATATGTTAATGTTACTTAACATTGTAGAAATTTGCATATAGTAAACCCTTGCCAAACACAGGGCTTAAAACATTAATACATTGTGCATGCGACAAAACCATGTTTCACACAGTTAATGTTCGACAGAAAACATGCTAAGCATAATTCAGATTATGAAAGTGTGTGCAATTTAAATAAACTTTAATATCGTAGTAATAACAAGAAAAATACAAAACAAATGTTAACTGAAAAGACTTTTTTAAGTATGTGATATAATTACATCTTTTTAAAGAGCTGGTGATTTTTGCTTAGGACAATGACTGATGCAACTTTTTTAAAGTTTTGGGCTAAGCAGTAAAGTTTTTCAATGCACCTCATATAGTGTCCTCTTCTTTCTTCATTTGGGTCAATGTCTGTTGTAAAATCAGTTGTTGTGCCCTTTTTTAAGAATTTGTTTAACTTTTCTGTAAGTTAAAGGGTTTTTTTTTTTTTTTTTTGTAAGTTAATTATAATAAATATTAATTAATCTAATCATTGAGGTAAGGGATGATATCCATTACTCTGAGAAGACAATTTTGAAAATGACATCACTGCATGCATTTAGAAACCAAACTAAAACACACAGACAGAAAAGAACTTAAATGTATATTTTGCATGCACACCAAAAATCTTCTTCTGACAAGATATGTCGAAATTTATGACAGAACGTCCAATTTGCATAGATTCTACATACACAAACTTATAAAAATGTCCTTGAATTTTGCAATTAAAACCATCACAGCATTCTCTTGAGAAAAACAAGCATACTCACACAAACAAATTTTTCTAATTTTTCATAACTATCAGATTCACAAACAGTAATTAACTCTTTGATCCATTTGATAGGGACAGCCTACAAAATAAGCAAAATATTACATGTCAATTAATTTATTTAGTAAAATTTATAATATATTATTATCATTCTTTACAGAAACATGGAACTTTTTTTAAAAAAAATTCAAGTCAATATACAATTATATTTAAACAAGCATACTGTTTCATACTAAAAAGGATCAAAATTAATTAATTACATGTATGAACTATTAAATTACATTATATATGAACTAGCTACCTTGGAGGGATTTCTCATTGATAATCTGCTGATTTCAAATCTGATTTTTTTCGAGCTATATTTAATATTTAAATTTGAATTTCAGTGAAAGAAACACTTATTGAAAAGGAAATTTCATGAATATCAATAAACATGAATATGAATTAAAAAAATTTAAAAGGTTTCAGATTTTAACGGTCACTCAAAAGGATTTGTTAAGGATTTTTATGCTCTTGCTGAGCTCAGAGTGTGCTAGTCTGCTGTTGCACTCACTCCTGCTAACCTTTTTTTCCCCCTTCATAACTTTATTATTAAACATAATTTTCTTCACACATATGAAATATACAATTCAAAGCAAAATTAGAAAAAATTTCAAAGCAGCATATGTTTAGAATTCTCAGTGCAGTGTTACGAGTTGGCATACATTTTTCTGTTTTCTCAGTCTTTTCCCAGTTCATTATATCAATGTTCAGTTTCCTTACTAAGAAAGCTTACAAAACTTTTTTTGTCTTTTTATTATTAAGCTTTTGTGTTTAATTTTATTTATGAAATATTGTGTACTTCACACACACCATACATAATATTCAATTCGACAGCATAATCACAGACTATTTAAAAATAGCATATTTTTACAATTTCCAGTCTCACATGCTGGAGATAAAATTTTTTTATTCCACATGCTGTTGCCACTGCTAGTTTTCAAATCTTTGAGTTTGTTAATCAGAATTTTAAAGTTTTACAAAAATGAAGCATAAAATTTGAAATTCAAAATTTTGGTTTCCAGGTGCATATGTTTAGTGGAGGACTATATCATTTAAAATTTGATGGCTCTAAGTACCATCATTTTTTTTACAGTGCGAGAATTATGCATGCATACATAAAGATTTTCATTATTGAATTTCTTTAAATAATTTATGCAGATTCTTTGTTATTTACACAAGGTGATAATATTTGGTGACAACAAATTGAAAAATGATTCAGACTTTTATATAGTGATTCAACACAGAATTCTGTTTTGAGACCAATAGCCTATGTGGACTAATAAAATCTTCCTAAACTCCTTAGCAGGAAAGGAGAGAAAATCTTTTCCACTATTGGGTAACAAATGCCAATATTTTTTTTTTTTTTTTTTTTTTTTCTTTCCCCTAGAAAGACATATGTACCAAACTGATACTTCCATGAGAAAACATACTTTACTCAGCTCTCTTGGATGGCAGCAAATTTTTCCGAAACGCACAGGTTAGTTATTTCAGTTAACAAAGAATGAAATAAAATTACACCTTTTAAAACCTTTTTTTGATAAGCTTGAAAACCTAAACATTGATATAATAGCATATTTAATTTAATATTAATTCTATTCTAGGAAAATTTTTGTCGTATTTTAAAGAAAGTATTTGAATTCATTTATAAAAATATGCGTTTAATATTAATCAATTATATATGCCTCGTTATTTGTTACAAGCTGTTGCCATCTTTCAGGTAACCTGTAAATTCCTGTTTTGTAGAAGTTCTCGTCCTTGGAGTTAAAATAGTTAGCAACTGTCTTAGAAACACTTTCAAAAGACTTGAATTTTTTCCTGTTAGATAATTTTGTAGAGATCTGAACAGGTAATAATCAGATGGTGCAATATCAGTGAATATGGGGGGGAGTGACTAAGGACTTCCCATCCTAACGCATTCAGTTTTTGTTGTGTCACCATTGCAGTATGTGGTCGAGCATTATCGTGGTGGAACACTATTCCTTTTCTGGACGCTAATGCTGGCCTTTTTCCTTTGATAGCTGCATTCAATTTATCCAGCTGATTTGCAGTACAGATATGCGTTAATGGTTTTTCTCTGTTTCAGCAACTCGTAATACACTGACCTTCCTGTCCACCACAACAAGCAGTTACTTTTGTCGATGGATACTTGGTTTTGAAATGATGTGTGATGTCCTGGTTTGCAGTAAGATTTTTTTCTTCTTAATATTCTGTAAGAATCCTTTTCATCTCCAGTAAACAGCCTGTCCAAAAATGCTCCACTTTTGTCTAATCAGATCTAATGACACTTTCTTACACGATCAGACAAATTATTTTCGTTAATTCATGTGGAAACAAAATTGCTTTAAACACAAACCCAAGATTTAATGTGATCTCCAACTGTTGTATGATGAACGCCAAACTGTTCTGCAATTTCTCGACTTGTTAAATGTGGATTATTTTAACATGATCGAAAAATCATTATCGTGTTTGGATGGTCATAATTGAAATTCTTGAGGCTCAGATCCCCAAACGAAATTTGCTAAACTATCTTGACAAGTACGAACATTACAATATCTTTTCCAAATACCGCACATAAATTTTACATGCAACGATGCATGCGTTCCTTTTTTCATATACAAAATGCAGTGTCGTAAATGCACTTTATTACGGCATGTTTCACTTAAAATCACAAGTAAATATGAACGTAAAAGGACTCCTTTTCTATTATAACGCTGAAAAATAATAATAAACAAATGAACAAACCTATTATGATTCACAGACTAAAATTTCTTTTAAAAAATTAATATTATTCAAAGCTCGGACAGTTATTATTTTTATAAGATACAGACTCACTAAGTCACAAATCAGCTACAGTAACTCCTTCATCCCCCTTTAATCGATGGGAGCTTTGTAGTAGTGTAATGGCTTTCCTAAGATCACCTTCTGCAAAATCTATAATAGCATCTAAGACCTGAAATATTTGCATAAATTATTATAATTTCAGTGCATAATTTCTTCTTAAAGCTGTTGGAGATGTAATATAGAATAATACCTTTTTTATATAATAATTTTTTATTAATAAATATTTACTAGTAATACTTGTATTTAAAAGAAATCATTTTCATTATCATTTTCACACTGAAATAATGTTTTCATAATCCTTTTCCAGCTGTAATTCTCCTGAATCCTAATGTTTTATCAGAAATAAAGGTGAATTTACTGATCATATGTAAACATATTTTTGATTCACTTTTCCCATTTAATTCACTTGTGATTCTGCTTAAATATATATATTTAATAAATTTTACTTATTATTGTAATATTACTATATTATCATAATTTATCCTATGGTTTTCAACATAGTCAATAAATGATATGTAGTAATAACTAAATTTTTTCATTCTGTTTTCCTGTCTTGCTTTATAAGAAAAAGTAAATTGGGCTGATTTTGATGTGAATGAAAATCCCACTTGAACATGCATTCCGATTAGTCAATAAACCAGAAAAATTATTTTTTGCTTGAATCAGCATCAGTAGATAAATTTTGCTATTTTCTTACTTGTATTTATAATGTTAACAATTTACAAATTGCTATTACATTATTAAATTAATATATGCAACTTACATAGCATTACCAGAAGTTAGGTATTAACATAGATAAAACTGGATTTATTACAAAAAACTGTGTCTGGATCACAGATTCAAAAAATCCAATATTTTTAAAGACAATAAAAGTAAATAAAAAACTGAAGAAATAATTAATCTACAGAAAATGCAAGGGGGCCGATTCTGTGAAATCTTAATAATGCTTTTACTGAAATGTATATATTTTCATAAAAGCAGGTAATTTTTAGAACTTTGCTGAGTAGTTTGTGCCTTTGCATCATCTATACTATCACAGTAGACCTGTTGCAGATTTTATGCTATCTAACTTTTGATATTTTCCCAATACAGCTCCTTGCATTACCATTTTATTTCTTCATACCGAATTCTATTTGTCATGCAGGGAGTAGCATATGAGCATCTGCAGAACATCTGTGGAATGGACAAAGATTGAAACAAAATAATAACAGTAATAAATTTTAATTTAATTACTTCACTTGAAGGACATCACAAGTAAATTATAAAGTACGGCAGTTCATTGAAAAACATATTTTTTACTCAATTCAAAGGTGAAGCAAGTGCCTTATTTTTTTTAACATAGGATTGATTACATTCCTCCATAAAGCAAAAATTGAGATGCTATTTGAGGTGTGCATGAATGCTTATATCTTCGAAACTACAAACTTTACAATTAATCTAAATACATCACTAGATAGATGGAAGAGCACATTAGCAAACAAAAGAAATTATTTTAATTGTACAAAGGATATATGCATATTAATGCCTCAAAAATAGTGAAATTTTGGTGATGTCAAAGCTCTGTGCACATGCGAATATAACTGAAGACATCTTAAATTATGTATCTTATTTATCATATCAGTGACCAATTTTAGATAGAGTCATTCTAAATGAATAAATATAACAACTAAAAAAATAAACTAAACTATATCTGTGTGTAAAATCTTTTGTTAGATTTAGTTGTTCTATAGCATCCTCACACTTCCATTAGTAATAATCCTATGCATTAAACACAAGAAGTTCTTTAAACTAAAAGAGACAACCTACTATCCATTTTTTTTTCCTATCCTTGCAGATGCAAGAGAAAGGTTTCAAAATTTATTAGTCCCATGCATTTTAACAATGAAATTAATTTTTTATAAAATATCCTGGATTACCTTTTCTAAAATATTGTCATCATAAAAAAAATCTTTATGGCATAGTTGTAAAAATCGCAACACTAATTTTTCAATACAGCAACAAATATGACTGAGACTGCCTATTTACTATAATTTAATAATACACGTGCAAAAAATTTCACTTCACTTAATTATACTGAATTATAGACATGACAGCTAAAAGTTCCTATGCCCAAGTTTTTAAAACAGTTTCTATGTGTTTGCACTTATAATGAAATACAGTACAAAGTCTTTAATCCGGACTCGTCGGGACTTCGGCGATTCCGGATTAGGGTTTTTTCCGGATTATAGATCATCAACATTGTAAAGGCATGCAAATTTAAATTAAAATATGAAACCAAATTATAAAAATAAAGAGCAATTATGGTTAAAACATATCAAAATTATAAAAAAAGCTTAATATTATTGTTACTTTATAAACATTCTTCAATGCAAGTCGTTAAGTTGCTTCGTTTTTGTGCTTATTTCTCTTTAATTCATAACAGACATAATTTTGTTCAGTTCCAGTCAAGTCCGTAATTGATATGGGCAGAATAGACTAACGGTCATCGAAATTTCTCGTTTTCAATAACCTCTGGCACTTTCTCCACTATCGGAAGTGGAGATCGAAAAGGCTTTCGCTTTGTAGATACTTGGCAGCTCCAGAAATCAGAAACACTTTTTGACGTAATCGAAGTTCAAGCTTACTTTTAAAAATTGCCTCGAACAGTCTGCAAAAAAAATAAGCCGGATCCAATTAGAAGATAAGGAACAACGCAATCTGCAGCATTAACTGAAATAGATAATTTTAGCCTAGCTTATACCGTCCGTTATACATTGAACACACATGCGTAAACGTATTATGCGTTTACGCGTGTGCAGAAAGTTTGTAACTTCGAGGTGCGGATTATAGATGATTCCGGATTATGGATGTCTGGATTAAAGACTTTGTACTGTATATTCTAAAAAGGTATTGTAAATTTTTTTGCAGTGAAAATTTTATAAAAATAATTAAAATTACAGTCACTAAAGTTATTTACTTATATTAATTTACTGCTGGAAACAGAATTATGAGACATTTTTGCACTCAAAGTACTTCTCATGGTAACAAACAAAGTTTGACACAGTCCTCAAGATATGACACTCAGGCACTGCAATTAACAATAAAAATATTGCGATTTATTGTTAAATTTTCAAGTTAATAATTTCATGTTTCATTGACTAATGTATTCAATCAATTTTCTTTTCAGATAAATAAGGATGTGCCTTTACTGATGCAATGGATAGTACATTCAACTGGCAAAAGGAGGATAAATTGCCCAAGGTAATAATGATGATAAGTATGTCTTCAATGAATATGAAAATCAAAAGTGATTGTTATGAGTAATCATATAGTGAATCCAATGACAATGGCATCATTTGCCCCTAATCCAAAGAGCAGGAAAACTGCAATCAATGATTCCAGGAACAGTCAAGAAGCCGTAAGATCCGGAAATACAGCTAGTATATAGGAAAAATCTTCCATTCAATAATTGACAAGCCTTCAAAAAGACAGCATTTCTGAATTGCTATGCAATCCAGTCTGCCATTTGCTAGACACTCACCATTCGTTCTGTAACTGTGAAAAGGTAATTCAAAATTCAAAGTTTAGTTTGAATTTTAGAATAAGATTACTCAGTATTAAATTTTTAATCTAAAATCTAATAAAGATGATATTAAAATCATTTACTAATGAACTAATCTAACAAATACAATGAAAATTTGTAAACAATGACAAAATATGGGAAACTAGATGAAAAAATTTGATATTTGCAAAATCTAAAAAAAAAAAAAACCTCCTAAAAACTGCAGAAATTCTCACAGCAAATAAAATTACTATCTTACTGGATAATAAATGACAAATATTAGAGTTTGGCATTTTTCAGTTTCTATTTATTAGCAGATTTACTTCATATATTTATACTTATTGCATATACATTAACAGACTTTCAAATAAACTTGTAATTAATTCTTGCAGCACTAAATGTTAATAACAAAAAGTTACTCATTGGAATTTACAAACTTTATTTACTTATTTATCTAGATTTGGATTAACATTAATTAAAGTTTTCATCTTTGATTAGATTCTACAGCCAACATATGCTAGGTCTTCACAGAAATATGTTTGCTTAATATAACTATTTGTTTCACATTTTATTACTTCAATTGCATCAGTGTATAAATTTGAAATTAAGTTTACATATATTGAAGATTCGCAGTACTTATATTTCACACTATTAGATACTTACACCATCTTCTAGTTTCACATTTTCTTCTGTCGCAATATAACTCAACCTCTCTGTCAAGGTTTCTTGTGATAAAGGCTTAAATCGAAATTTAGAGCATCGAGATGTTATAGGTTCAATTATCCTGTTGAAATATAATTTATCAATCAAATATTACACGATTCAAAACTGAAGATTAATAACCTACATTACTGAGTTCTTACTTTACAGAATTACATTTAAAATTTTACAGAATTGTATGGAACTTGGGCATTTCATTTATTGTGACAGCAGAATTCATACTGACACAAATATTTACATACAGTAGTCTCACGACATGCACTGAGATTAGTCTTTGTAAATAAAGAAACCGCACAAAATGGGTTCACGAGGATACACAAAATGATGGGTTGGGCGCAAAAGATTTATTTAAATACACTAATTGGTTTAATAATGAAGTTAGTTCAATAATATACATACATATATTTGCTATTAAAAAGATGAAATAAACTGCATTATTAGCTTTGTTCCCACCCTCCCTTTTTTTTGGTCTTGGTATTATTTTTATGTATTTTTATATTTTGATTTTCCATGAAGAATCTAATTTAAGAGCTCTTAAATGTCCTGCCAAACAGAAAACCATTTTTTTCTCCCACCTCTAATATTTTATTTTCAGCTTTAGTTATTCTAAATCACATATGGCTTTTAAATTAGTTCTATCCACTTAACTGCTAATCCAAAGTATCATATATGTTAACTCCTTATTCTCAGTCAATACGAAGCTTTTGCTACTTATGTCACTGTTATGTTCCCATAGCTCTTCTTACCTAGTTTGTTCAGCAATTTCTTGATAGAAGTTCTCAATCTTTCACTTTCTCGCTTCAATTTCTTGAAATGTTTCATCATATGGAATAAAAATTTTTATTCCAATGTCCTCACCATCACTATCAGATTGACTATCACCAAAAGATCAGACTGATGTCTTGAAACCTAAATCTTGCATGACAGCTTCCATTCCATTTTATTTATTAGCACTCCTTTTTTCTTTTAACTCCTTCCAGTGTCAACTCCTGATATTTGCTTCACTTCAAAATCTCCTGTATTTCATGCTATGGCTACAGCATAAGCTATTACAATACTGACAGCTAGTTTCCTTCCATCACTTATAATTTTTCAATATTGTAGGTTATACATTGCCATAATTTGCATCAAAATTTTTTGCAAGAATTTATTGTAGAAAGTTTTTTTACTGAATCCACAAAATGGATAGAAAATCCCCCATTCTGAAACTGCACTTTTTCCACATATACCCAAAAGCATCTAAAGATTCTGCTAAGAATTTCAAAGCGAAAATACTAAAGAAGACAAGATGTTAAACAGTAAACAGGACACAGCCTTTGTAGATACCTTATAGAAAGACTCCTCAGGATGATTGAGATTTTCAGCATATACACACTATCCTTTTTAAATTATTAAGATACAAGCAAAAGTATTAATAAGACACCCTGAGAGAGTATTAACTAACCATTGTGTTACACCTATGCAGAATGCGGCTTAACACAGCTCAGTCATCAATTTTGGTCAATGCTATGAGAAATGCTTAGTTACAAATGAAACTGGATATGTTGAAATAACTAGAAATCTATCAGTTAGTAATAATTATCAGCAATACAAAGACATGTTTTTTTAATCACTGGCTCTGTCAACTTCATCATCAAAAATAACTTCAAGAGTATCCGCAGCTTGAAATAAAGGACAAGTGCAGTAAAATAAATGCATCATACTCTCTCACCCAAAAAGATACTTTTAGGCAGAAGACTAATAATTTGATGAGGAATAATGGATTTTTACTTAACAATGAGCTACAGAATTAAATAAAATTTTAATTAATAATTCAGCAATCAAGAGTTTCCCTGGGATATGTAATGAAATATAATTAATTAATTATTTAACTCTTTCACCGCTATTCCTAAGTAAGCATAAAACTAATTCTATTCAATTCCCAGCAAATGAGTTTAAAGCCTGATTGTAAGTTAATAGGGTATTTCTGATTATTAAAGTCGTCAATTGTTGGCAAGTAATTTTTTGTCAACCTAAGACATGTAAAACAATAATCATTTTCGAAAATAATACCATACTACAAAATACATAAAACAGTAACCAATTAACAAAATTAAAAATGCAAAAAATTTTCATAATAAAATCGTTTCCCTTACTCTTCTCTCCATGTACAGAGCAATTTGTTTAAGCTTCAAAAAACATCAGAGAATTGCAGAAATTGGCCTCGCACAAAACTGTCATTTCCGATATATATAGCAATCTGTTTTCACTTAAAAAAGTACTGGAAATGCACAAGTTTGGCACTGCACATACTGTTGCTCTCTGCAATCTGTTTTTACTTTAAAAAAAAAAACAAAAAATTGCACAAACTGCAATACTAATGCACAAATTTGATCACTTCATGGAATGCAAATTGTTGTACACTCTATTGATAGGCAAAATGACATATTTCTCAATAAATGCAATACTTTCTCTTTCATCAGCTAATAAATTCCACTGACTCATTATAATTCCTTACAAGGAAAAAAAAAATTACACAAACTCACCATACAGCAATCAGAACTACTAGTAACAAAAAATGACCACCAAATCTGACAAATCATAATCTGCACTCAAGTACTGCATGCGTACACATACCCTAGTTATCATATAAATGTGTTTTCACAATGTTATGGGTTGCCTTTCTAAATGACATAGGTTAATTCTTTAGGCATGCTTATTTCTTTTCAAGTTTGGGCAGATAATCAGAAAGTACCATTAATAGTTTCATCAAGAAAAAATTTGTAAATCAAAACTGTTTTATGGAAACCAAATATTGTTTCATGGAATGTATTATTAATGAATTAGTGAGAATGTATTAGAATGTATTAGTGAGACGGTTAAACAAGGAAAGTGCCTGAAGTCAATCTATATCCATCCAAAGAAAATTTTTCAAAGGAGTGTGTTATCCCCCTTCTTTAGGGGGGGAAATGAAGACAGTTTATTTTGATTCAATGTAGAAAACTAGAGATAAATCTTCCAAAAATTAATAATCTTGTCAATCTAGTTGGAAATTGGAAATTACTTAGATTACTAATAATAACTGGATGCCTATGAGAATTAAATCCTTCATTATCACAAAATAGGAAATCAATATATTGTTATTACATACTTTGAAATTTAACAGCATATATATTAAATACCCCACATATAAAGCATATTAAATAAGAAGAAATACTTTTATTGCTTTGAAACATGCTTACCTACTGATATAGTTACATATGAGGCAGAAACGTGTAGATTTGCTAGCTTTTTCCATGGTACGTCTCAATGCAGACTATATAATAAAAATAATTTACAATTTATTATATCATAATAATTTAACTAAACATAAAAAAACGCAAACTTCATTACTTCTAAAAAATAATGAAACAGCAAAATACTTTGAAAAGAACAAGATATAATTGCTACTTAATTCATAAACAAACATAAATTTAAGACAAAAATATATTTAGGTAATTACAGCAATGGACACATGGGCTATTTAACCTATAGAAAAAATTTCTTTCAGAAGCATTATTAGATAATTCACTCCAGATTTTTTTTTTTTTTTTTTTTTTTTTACAATGCAGAAGTCATTGTAGAAAATTCACTTTTACTTATATTATATGTGCCAAAAGAACCATGAAAAACTTATAATCAAGAATAGAATAAAAGAGGAAATTACCAATACAGTTAGTTAACTTGGCCATTAGTAGGCTATTTTTCCTTTTTTGTTTATTTTGCATGCTTGTTCAATGGCAGGGAAAAAAAATATTTTGATAAAATTCTAATTTATTTTTACAATAATATTTGCTTCTAGAATGTTAAAAAAAACTAAACATTCATAATGTTCTTAGTTTTTAAGTTCTATAAAAAAATTGAAATTATTTTATATGAAAGAACCAGAGTCATCTTACATGAATAAAGTCATTATATGCGTGGCATACTCTTCTGCATTCCTTATATTCATTCAAAATGAGGGAAGAGTAATATTTGGGTATCTTAATATTTGGGTTTATATATATATACTACATACAGCTACATACCTTTTACAAAATGGCATGAAATTTTACTTACTGAATTAAATTTTTTTTTAATATTTTTACTTTACAATTGCTTAACTTTCATGTTACCCCTACCCCACCAAATGATTAGCAACTACTTGCATTTCTCTCAAAGAAACAACTGAAGAAAAATTTTTAGCAACCTTATATAGCAGAAAATCAAAATTCTACACAACTTTGGAAAGAAATTAGAGATAAAAAGCATATCAAAATGATTTTTTACATTTTTAAAAAATATTGTTCACAGTAGTTAACAATAGTTTGTTTTCAAGTTTTAGGTTGTTCTGTTTTGTGTCCCTGTAACGTCTGAACACCCATGTCGGGTTAAAGAAAAGAACTGTTGTCTTTTAAATATTTATTTTAAAAACTTGATAAAAAATTCTAGATTAATCAACCATTACAGCCAATATTCACACAATTGCTGTTGGGTGCAGCCATGATGCAGGATTGCGTCTTCATCTGAGTCTTTCACTACATAAAAAGCTGTTACAAAAGATCCTCTCTTTCATTTTATTCAACACATAGTCAGAAAAATACCTGGAATGGGGTAATTACTGTCCCTTATGTCCCGATACCGCACCAGGGGATTTCCGCAACACCTATCCTCAAAGTTTTCTGTCAAGCGGTCCGAAGTCCCAAAAGAACTGAAGGCAATGCGATAGACCTGTGTACAGATGTGTGACACATTATGGATTGTTTGAGGGATCTGTGCCACTTTTCAATGATGGCGTTGGCTTGTGGGTGATACGCGGTGATACGGAGATACGCATGTGAGAAAGGCAAATACCAAAGTTCTTGGCTAGTTCTCGAAAGAGTTCACTGCAAAACTGACTACCACAATCAGTGATGATCTGAGCAGGCACACTGAATGAGATCCAGCCAGCATAAAGAGCAGTGGTGACGGTCTCTGCCTGTGTGTCTTTCAATGGATATGCTTCAGGCCAGTGAGTATAACTGTCGATGCATGTCAGGCAGTAAGAAATTCCTTGAGATGATGGAAGAGGTCCAATCAAATCTATATTGATATGAGAAAAAGTTCATCTGGAACTATAAAAGTAGTTAAAGGAGAGTGTACATGATGAGACACTTTAGCCTTTTGACATTGTAGGCAATGTCAAAATTGTTGTTTGACTTCTGAATTAGTATTGTAGGCAAGTTTTAGCAAAGTTCGTGACATCCTAAATCACATCTGGATAACCAATTCGGGGTCTGATTAATGACTAGACACTCAATTTAGAAAAATAAATTCTTTTAATGGATCAAAATATGTACATAGCCATAAAATAACATGAATCTCAGCGATGAGTAAAATGCTTACATGAACTTGTAAAAACAGAAGGAGAAAGTTCTCTCTTGCAGTCACACACAGATGGGATTCTTATCGCGCATGCGCGAAGAGGACTCGAAGTGGCGAAGAAATATGGGGGGGGGAATAGCCCCACAACTTCCTGGCCAATTATACAATTTTCTTGTTTTAAATTCCTTTTTTCATTGTTTCTGCAGGAAAATTGTGAATACTTAGAATGTGTCCTTCTGATATGACAAAAAAAAAAAACTATTTTTATCCTATATGTAACAGGTATTTTAAATTCTTGTACATTTATAGCAAGACAGCAATCAACAGCAAATATAAATGTTGGCAGAAAATGTAGCCTAAAATACTAATAGTAAACCTAATATTACATTCAATATGTATCTAGATTTGAAAATATATCTAAGAAAATAACATAAATATCTGAAAAGAATTTTAGAGTTTAGGAAACAAATAATTCTGTCAAACTATTTTTTGAATTTACAGTCCTTTCTTCTCTTGGCATGTTCCCCATTTCAGCACTGTATCAGCACTAAAACATTATGTGAACAAACTGCAGTTATCTGAACAAAGTCTTCTATAATGCATAGTTATTGTTCACAAAAGAACTTCATGACAGACTCTTCATCACTTGGTAATTACTAAATTTATCTTCCTCATTACTTCATCAAATTCTTGCATGGAAAATGCGTCTGGATAAAAACATGAGTCTTAATATTGGAACGATTTGTAATGTAACGCTGTTAAAACTAGCATGCTTGTGCACATTTTGACTGCTACCGCACTTACAGAAGATTATCAAAATTTCAACGCTTGCTAGACTAAAACAGCACAAGGTTAACATTCAGTTATAATTTTAACAAGTTTTGATAAAATATATATTTCACAACTGTTATAAAAGTGATAATTGATACAATTGCTTCAATACTAATTGAGAAAAATTGTTACCAAAAATGTGAAAAAATTACCAAATTTTAGGTTAAGTTACATTGCTTGGATTATGATAAAGTTCACAATGGCTATCTGACTAAAAGGAGGGACACCGTTGAGGACTTTAAGGGAACTGGCTTACATTCACATAAAAAAATTGGGAAAACCCAAAAAATCTCCCATGCAGCCTTGTCAGGTTTTAAAATTTCTATTTTTTCATAGGTTCAATTTTAATTTTCTTTCTTCATTACGAGATTTTCAAAAATCCAAAATGTGCAAGCAAATTTATAAATTAATAAAAGTTATGATGCCAAGAATGTTGTTTTTTATACTGAAATTTATCTTTCAGATGTGATACTACCAAGAAGTACTAATTCTCAATACGAGTAAAAAAGAAAAACTGAAGTAATGTCACTTACTTGCGCAGCATTTGTCATTGAATCTGCTTCATCAAGGATAACGATTTTGAATGGTGGACAAGGTCGACCACTAAAAGAAATGTAATCAGTTGAAATAAATTAGTTCAATTCCATTTCTGAACAGAAAAATTCAAACAATAGTTTCATGAATGATAACTTTGCACAGGTTCAGAACTGATTTACTAATATGTATATATGTTGCTTAACACTATATCAAATAGCAAACAAGGAACAGAACTTACTCAGGGCGAACAGCACTTGCAGTTTGTTGAGCAAATGATTTCACTTTGTCTCTTATAACTTGAATACCTCGCTCATCAGATGCATTTAGTTCTAAAATTCGTGAATGGAACATATCTCTGCCAAATTGAGATTAATAATAATGGAATAATAATATATCTAACAAAATAAAACATACTAAAAAACTGGTACCTTCTGACTATCCAAACCCTACCAAAAAGTATTCATAAGGCAAAGGAGTATGTGACCAAAACAGTTACCACAATATCACAAAAAAATATTTATGTGGCAAATAGAGTATGTACATAGCACATGTTTGGCTGGTTGTCTGATGGAGTTTGTACTTTCTCTGATGTTTTTTAATCAAAAATAGATTGCTGTGTTCATGGAGAGAACAACAGTGCAATAAAAGGAAGGATTTCTCAAAGTTAAATCTTTTATTACCAATGTTCCTTGCATTCTTAATTTTATTAAATGATTGCTCTTATCAAAATTCTTAGTGCACCACCATTACCTAAATGGCTGTTGCCTTTTCCATATTAGCTTGTTGAAAACTTAGACAGTAATGAGTCCTCAAATACTCTCCAAAGCTACCAACATATTCACGACATTTCAAAAAGGGATGCAGATAATTAGAAAGTACCAAAACCTGTCAAAAAGAAAAGTTGGAACAAAACATTGAACAAATGCATGGTTTTCATATGTGTCACATAAAAGATGATAGATACTGAAAGAATACCTTGAGCAGTTTTTAGAAATTACAATGAACTCTCTCTTAGAAGACCACTTACAGTTCCAGACAATTTTGGTCTTCTGTGAAAATGGTCCTCTTAAGGAAACTGACAATCAGTAATGGAGTAAATAAAAATTATAAATTTATTAGATAAATATTTTTATTAGATTTGAGTAAATCATCAGAAATCATAAATCACCATTACATCAAAAGCAAATCAAAAGCAAGCCCTTACATGATGCTGAATAGACAGCCTTCTAGGCTTTACTGCATTCACTGAAGCAATGCATTCACATTCACTGCATTCACATTGAATTAATGAACTACTTTGTTACATAAAAGTAATTTTGCTATTTCAAGAAGAACCTAAAAGTGTTATTTTTTAATTTATACAGTACTTTAATCTGAGAACAAAAATATATTTTAGAGATCACCATGTTGCAAAAGTAATGGTCTTCATCCAGCTGGAGAGTGGTCAACTTAGAAAATGTTACTATAACTATGAATATTATTGTTTACTTATGTTCTAAGAAATACTGGCCATTTTCAAAGATGATTTTCTTCGGGCAGGGATCACTGAGAGAGGATTCATTATAGTAGTGCTAAATACTCTTAGTTAAAAAGTATGTGAAAATCTGAATATTGTGCTTTAAGTTTTATAAATTTTCATGAGTACATAGCATAACAAAAAAAAAAAAAAAATCAACCGTAATCTGCAAATTACCCAAATATTTCTCTTGATAAAGCAAGTATTGTTGATGTCTTTCCTGTACCAGGCGGGCCATAAAACAATAAATTTGGCAACTAAGCAAAAGAAAAATAGAAATATTTAAAACTTTAAATAAAAAAGATATTATATATGAATATTTTACAATATTCAAAATTGCAACTTACATCAGGTTTTACTAAGCTCTTTTTCAAAACAGCAACTACTTCTTCTTGATATACCACTTCATCCATACATTTCGGACGACTAAATTCAAATAGCATTAATGTAATATACGCAAGTTCTTTAAAATAAATAATGAGATCAGGTATTAATAATAAAACAGCATTTAAATTACTCAATGACACTTAATATTATATTCTATCATTTTTAAAACAGCACATTTTGCACCATTTTTATTATTTATATTTTAAATAAAATTAAATTTCAAGGATTCTGTATTATCAAAAATTTAGAAACGATACTTACTGCATTCATTTATGCTCTCAATTCATGCCAAAAATCTCAAAAACAAAATCCTCGTATAAACATACATTGAACTTATATTAATATTAGCTGGCTAACAACATATAACTCGTTAGCATAGTCACTCGGGGATTCTGTATGCCCAAATTAAAAGACCTATGCTTACATAATAATATTTTTTTCAAAAAATTAAAATAAAATATATGATAATAAACATTGAACCAGATTCAAAGATTCCTTTCTTTTTAATAAAATTATAAGTTAATAATGCAAATTAATATCCACTAAATAACTAAAATACCAATAATTATCAGTTCGCTTTGAGAAAAAAATCTTATAAAGTTTAATCAAATAACTGGCAGATACTATTGTAAAATTAATTGCTTTTCCTTATTCAGTCTGCATGTTTTCATAGTAAGTATGATACAGAAGTAAGACCTCAGACACTATATACTTGTTTTCAAAACAGAAAAACAAGATTATGGGATGATTTGGGGATTCTTAAAATATGAATGCCTAGACTTGTGATCTTAGATGATAATCTAGCCCTAAATGTGCTAGAAATTTTTTCTCATCTGATACTATGGGAACTGATATATATATATATATCCGTTCCATCAATAATTATGAGCTCTACAGCGATTGGACACAGAAAAATCTGTATTAGATGGGAGGTGGGCATTACGAAAACACTCTACAGAGGATAAACGAATATTCTTACTGAATGCTGCATATTCCACACTCCCAGCAAGCTTGTCTTTTTATACCCTGGGTCCAAAGACCAGTAAAAAATCATGAATAAAAACCAATTCTAGATATCCTATAATACAAGATTATAACTGATGACTTTTTTTTAATATTATTTTATTTTTTCCTCATGCCTGAAAAGCTTGAGAACAGCTTTTAATCAATTGCCACATTAAGAATCTGGTATTTTTTAATGTGCATTCAATTTCAACTTAAATTCTTAGTATTCTAATACATAGAAATAAAGGGGGCTTTCTGATAATCCCCAACCCCACCAAATGTTATAAAAAAATACTCAGGCAAAGCAATATGTGGCCAAAGCAGTTATACGGCAACCCATGATGCCGCCAAACAATATTTATGTAGCAATTCAGGTACGCATGAAGCACATGTCTGTTCTGGCTGATGCACAATGCCAAATTTGTGCACTACTCTGAATTTATCAAAATGAAAACATATCACTATATACATGCAGAGGAGAACAGCACAAAAAAGAAATTAAAGAATGCAAGTAGCCCATGTCTTTTTTGGCTGTGTGCAATGTTCTCTGTTTTTCAAACAAAAGTACATCGCTGTGCATAAGGAGGAAACAAAAGTGTAAATTAACCCTTTGACTACGAGTTTTAAAAAAAAAAAAAATTACCCCATTTTCTATCCAAGTGAAAATAAATGTCATAAATAATGTCATAAATAAGAAAAAGGTAGCATTTAGGATTTTTTTGACAAATGATTTTCTATCCAAATACTGGGACACATATGTCCCAGCCGTAGTTAATGGTTGGATACACGTGTCCTACACTTAGCGATCAACTTACTATAAGCACACCTATTACTCTGGAAAATTTTATTATATGAAATAGATTTTACATCGTATGGTACAGAATAAAGCATTATTTGCATAACTCAACATTACACATTCAGTAACTTATATTTGTTCTTTTCTCTATGTTCATTCGTGTATAACAAGCACAGCGGCGTCTTGATTTTCCAATTATTGGAAGATTATCCCCAACATTCAGGAGATTTTAAGTACTTTTTAACCCAGCAGTAATTTTTAAACTTTTAGAGGGACATATATGTCCCATTAGTAGTCAAAGGGTTAAGAAGGATTTCTCAAAAAAAAGGTGAATTTTTTGTTTCTATATTTCTTTCCATTTTAATTTTATTGATAAATCGCTCTCATATAGTATTCTCTCATACACCATTTTGAAAACCGCTTTGCCTTTCATACATTAGCTTGACAAAAAAAATTGGTTGTTTGTGAATGCTCTCCAAAGTTGAGACTATAACATTTTAGTGGGAGTGCAGCTAATCAGAAGTACCAAATAAAGCACAAAATGAACATACTATTTTTCAACCCAAGGAGAAGGTCTTTTAGATTTTTTGGTACTTGAAGGCCCATTTGAATCATTCTTTAGTAGTGAAGATTTTTGTTTTATTCCAGCCTTATAACCTTTCAAAAAGGCCTCCATCCTTACCTGAAATTAAAATATGTATTAATTAAGTATTTGATGCATAATTCATTTAATAGCATTTTATTTTAAAAACAGAATTTTCTCAAAAAATACTAGTGCTTCCTTATTATTAAGGTCATCATTTTGTAAACACAGCCAAATTTATTGATATATTGCCAATACAAACCATCTTCAAACGGTCAGTAGTCCTAATGATGGTCATTTATAGTTTGCTAAATGAAAAGATAAACCATGTGTAATTGTGTTTTCTTCTTTCATATAATTAATAATCACAATAACTAATTATTCTTTAGTCACAATAACTCTGAGTATCAACCTTGTTAACACATTTTCCTTTTAAAAAAAAGTTAAAATTGTTTCACTTGGTGAGAAATGAAAATGATGCTATATTTTCTTCCAAGAAGACACATTTTACTTTCATTCGAATGTGTAAAAAATGGCCAGTAAATAAAACTAAATATCACTGAAAACATTTGGAAGTCCAACATGAAATGTTACAATTAAAGGAAAAGAATGCATTTTGACAATTGGATCCATTGCTCCAGAACAGCTACTTATTTACAATTGGGCAGAGGAGCTGATGTCGATTATGTGGTGGGAGCCTTTATGAAAATAAAACTATTGACTAGAAAAGTGTTATGAGAGAGATGTATTCTCTGCATGTAATCTAACAACCAAATAAGCAAACAGGGTCTCTACAAAATTAAAGGCCTTAAAATAAAACTCTGTTTGTATGAGTGAAAAACAAAGCCAATAGGTTCTTTCACAGTGCTGGATATTTGTTGGGTTACGTTGAGAAACTGGTGAATTCTTTCTTGCTCACATTTTGAAAAGAGATGGCAGATTTATGGCAAAAATCCGTGAACATATACAAGAGGGATCTATAATTTATTCAGATTGTTGGCCATCATAGACAACAAAGAAAATGAAAAAGCAGATAAAATATATTTTACTGTGAACCATAAATTTCATTTTATTGCTCCAAAAACATTTTGTTTGCACATAAAATGTTCAGTGAAGCTAAGTCACAGAAGTTAAGTTGATATGTAAATCAATGAGGCATGTTTAGCCATTATCACGAGTCATACCTTGCGTAGTTCCTGTGATGAAAGGTCTTTGGGACGAAAATATGCATTTGATACAATTATTAAAAGCAATCGTGGAAACATTGCAGCCACAAAACTTACGTGAGAAGTAAACAGTGATTTGGCAATAATCCTTGCATCAACTTGGCATTTAAAAAACAGGGGCTGTAATAATGAGGAAGTACCAACATAATTACCCTAGTATAAATCACATCTGACTTTATGCATTAACAGTAATTAACAAAATCTTATTTCTTTCAAGTTCATGGATTTTAATTTATATATTTTTGGTATTTCTTTGATACAGTAGCTTTAGTGAGAAACAGATGGTTACCAATACACAAAGCAATTCACTCACTGTCTTCAGTACACGGTTTATTTAATATACACATACAGAAGCAATTTAACCCTTTGAAGGGCTGTCAATTTTTTAACCTCCGAAAAAATGCTAATTTTTCTACACCAAAAGATATAATCATAAGTTTCTAGTGTTTCCTTTCGATTCTAAATGGCAGCACCATCCTATGAATGCTCAATATTTGGCAGCTATGAAATTAATATACCTCATTTCAAGGTATCATGTTTTAAGATTGATAAATTCTATTGGAGGGAAAGAAAAAATTCAAAATCTGCAAATATATGATGTACACATGCTGAATCTTATATTATTACTTCATTTCAGTCAGAAGTAATAATTAACAGAAGATTATTTATATGATTTTAAAACCAGTATATAATATATACTGGCACCCACACTGAGGGTACCACGTCAATAGATAGCAGCACCAGTCTTCTCCTTGTCCATTCCGTGACATAACAGAATTTCTTTATATTATGACAGTTTATGATGTAATAATTTTTTATGATTAATTTATATAAGTTGTTTAGGATTCAATATTATGTTCATTAAGGGATGGGAAGTTTACTGACCCTGTGCTAGGACTGAATTCATTTTTTATTCCACTAGAATTTCATTCGTCTCTGTTTAGCTAAAATTTTAATTGCAGCACTCCACCTTTTCCTAAGAGAAAGACACATCGATTTCAAAATTGCCGTCTGGGATCAAAACTTTGCACAATTGTAGGGGTTAAACGTGGCATGTTAGCCCCCAAAAGACACCTGTTGCTTCGTACTTTCCAAAATCCTAGAATTCAACGAAAATGAAGAGGTGATTGACAACTGATTTGTCATTCGGGAGTCATGCCTTCTTCCCTTTGTGTGGTGTGATAAGATCACACAAAGAGAAAGCTCTTAAAAATACATGTAATCTAACAACGAAATAAATATTACAACCTATATTTACAAAAAATAAAAAAGGGGTCCTTGAGGTCCTCGATAATCTAAAGTGTGTGCACATGGGGGGAGGGATTCTTGGTATTATAGCATGAACTATTTTTTTTTTTTTTTTTTTTTTACATATTATGTAAAGCATAAAATATAACTTAAAAAATGAGTTATATCTCCTTGTAATATTATACTAGTTCAGCTATAGCATGACACGATTTACGCATGCAGTGTTATATTTGCTAAATTTCTTTTATAAAATAATAATATTGAATTTAAATCAAGTTCAAAAGCTTTTTACCTATATTTTACATAAGTATGTTCACTGGGTTGCATCATCAAAGTGCATAAATACATAAATTTTATTTTTAAAATTTTAAATTTCTACTGAAATTTTAAAAGTTTTTTGTCTTCAGACTTACTTAACTATATTCAAGCACCCATCTCTACAGATGCACATCAAAAGTACACAAAATTAATTTTAAAAGCAAAAATTAACAATTGGCAGCTACCTGGAAAAAAAAAATGTCTTAGAGGCGCACCAATATAAAATATATACCGGCTCTCAAAATTTAGGATTTCGCTCTAAAATTCACTCAATTTTGTGTCCTTAGGGTCTATAAGTTATGCAAAATTTTACTAAAATTTAAATTATTTTGTATAATGCCACTCAAAGGGTTAATATAAATTTATATTTATTACTTTATTAAATACAGTTTCATAAGGAATTTACTTAAATAAACAGCATATAGATACAAACTCAAAACTCACTTTAAACAGAAACTTTTGGGTGGCAACAGTTCAGCAATTGCTGCTATTTATGCATCAAGTGCATTATCATGGTCGACATGATGACTGAATATTAACTGCATGGTTCACATGATGAATGAATATATTAGTTGGCATGATGAAATGAATATACTAGTTGGCATGATGAATGAATATAAACTGATACTTAGACTTAACATTATGACGAACTGTACTCCTGTACATTTTGTCCTCCCATTCTGCTGATCCCTGAAGGTGTATATGTACAGAATGGTAAGACTGTTTCTCCCCAAAGTTTCCCCAAAGTTTGTTTCATAAATCTTCTGTTAATTTAAAAACATGTGGCTTAGGTTGTACATGCACAGAAGTATATTTTAATGCATTTTTACTCTTTCTATGTTTTAAACACTTGAAGCAAGGTAGGCACCCAAAAATCAGAAACTCATCTTATTCTTATTAACACTTTGAAGATAGTGGCCTAAAACCAGGTCAGAGTTACAGTGTCTCAAAAAAACAGCTCCAACCTAAATATGGATGAGAAAAATTCTGCTCCCCTTCTCCTCAGATTTCGGGAATAGTCGCTGTTAATCTTATTGATGAAAATTGTAGAAATAGTTGCACTGGTGAAAGACAATGTGGATAAAAATAAAAATGAATCAGAAAACTGAAGACAATGGAAAAGCTAATATGATGATGCATAGTGAAAGACTGAAGGCATGCTCCGTTACATGGAGGAGCAAGGTGCATCAGGTATGTACATTTTGTTCTTCTGTCGCCTATGGGATGAAGTTGCACGATGATGGAATGAGAGTGAGAGACAACCTACCATCACATGATATTTTTCTACCAAGAACTAATAATAATTTTCTTCATTATTGTATGTAAGTTTTTTTACTCAGTTACCTTAGGGTATTTGTTCTTTTTATGACTCCTACTGATCTAGAACTTGACACACAAAAATCAACATTAATTTAATTGTATGCTGTACTTTTCCATGTCCAATATGGTGCTACAAATGTCTAGAGCAGGGGTTCTCAACTGGTGGTACGCATGAGAAAAATAGGTGGTAACGCAAAGAAGAAAGATTTTTTTAACTATTAAATTCAAAAATTGAAAACCCAACATCCTGACTGAGTTTTCTTTCCAACACTCTAAATTTATGAGATCGGAGTTTTGTTCAAGAGTGGCGGTGGTAGTAGTACTTTGTCTTGGTGGTACTAAAGGTTTTCAATTTTTATTTAGATAGTACACGTTAGTCAAAAGCTTGATTAAAGTGACCGCTGGTCTAGAGTAACTTACAGTTAAATATTAAAGAGTTCTGAAAATCCCATCCCTTATTCCGTAAAACTTGACTTTTCAGAAACTCAGTCCACATAATGTCGAGGTTGCAGGACTCTACTCTATTGCATTCCCAACAAAAGAAAAACTTTTAAAATGAAATAATTTTAAAAAAAAAGGTACTTGCGCATTATTACCAAACACCTTGGTAGAAACCATGAGCTTCAAAATATACCAAACTCTGGTAACAATGACAAATATTCAGATTCCAACGGCCCCATTTTTGCACGCACTCGTTTTGTTGTATTTCATGTTCCAATGGCCTTTTATAAAAAAAAAAATTGACTATTTCATGTCTTACACTTGATTTTAAAATTTGTACTTATAGGATTTTTTTATAATAGAAGAAAGAGAGGAGAAATTTCTGCATGAATATACCATTTTGCTACAAATCATTAAATGCACAATGCTTCAAATTCTTTCCCAAAGCAATCATAACAAAATTTCTACTACAGAAAAAAAAAAAAAAAAAAAAAAAAAAAAAAAAACCTATTACTAACTAGGTTTAATAATGGCCTTTTGAAATAAATCATAGTTCAAACACGGAATGTACATGTATCTATGTAATATATATTACGTTTTACAATAAACGTAAATTAATAGTACTAATTTTTTTACAATAAAGTTCTATTTCTTCTGTAAAATTCACCAAATTGCACAAGGTGGTTACGATAATATGCAAGTACCAAACAAGTACATAAATCTATAAAATGGAAAACAATTATAAGTCACATAACAAATTTCATTACAACACTAGTGAGATATTAGTCAGCAAACTAAAAAATATAAATGAAAACCAATGATATGAAATTAGGGTATTTTTGATTATCCACATCTAAAGGCTACAAAAACGTTTTGATAAGGCAATACATCATATCATCAAAAAGCATTTATATAGTAATTTATGTTGCTCCTAAAAAGTACTTATATGGCAACCCAGGTTATGTGGATAGCATCTCTTTCAGACAGTTTTCGACTTCTCTGGACATTTTTGCCAATATGATCCATATTATCATCTCTCTTATGGCAACTTAGCATAGCGATGGACTGCTTACTCCAGTTTTCCCCGTCTTCAGCAAAATCTCAGACTTATCTTTCTACATGTAGTACCAAGAAACATGTATATCATATATGGAAAAAGGAGAATGTACAAAAATAAATAGCAATGGGTACATTGTCGAAATAGATGTAAAGATATCCAAACTATTATTTCTCTCCAAAGTCGACAAAGAACTTGTTACTTTTCAGTTAGACTGCAGATACTCAAAAAGCATACAGCATTAAACACAAAAATCTGTCTTAAAAAAGGGGGAGAAGGGGACAGAGAAAAAGAAATAGCATTTATAAAATGATAACTGTTAAAACTCAGAACTAAAGAAATTAAAAGCTAAAACTTACAAGGTATTTCTCCCACCTTCTTAGCATGCTTTCCAGGTGTAGTGGTCAGCAGGCTTGGCGCACATTCAAGAGGTCCGTGGTTCGAGTCCCAGTGAGGGCATTACTTATTTTTCACGTCTCTTGCTTTGAAATAACTTAGTCTCTACAGTGACACCCGAACTAAAAAGGTGGTGGATGATGAATCTCCACCACCAGGATTTGGCAATTGGGTCCCCTAATCCATAGTCATCCTTTAAAAGGGGATGTATATAAAGAATTTCTCCCACTTTCATGGTGTAGTGGCCAGCACGCTCGGCACATATTCAAAAGGTCTGTAGTTCGAGTCCCGGCGAGGGCATTGCTCCTTTTTCCCATCTCCTGTTTCAAAATAACCTAATGTCTTTACAAACTTACGCATAATTTGATTCAGTCTTCTTTTGGATATAACAGCTTCCAGATATTAGCTAAATCTGGGCTAAAAATACATGCCCTTATTACTACAAAGTTTAAACTATGAAAACATTAAGAGATTATGTTTAAAACACCCAATTAAAAATACTATAAAACAACACCGACTATGATTGTATTTCCACATAAAGAGTCAACATTAATAAAAAAAAGTAAATCAAATTAAAATACGACAGGGTATGTTCAATATGATCTGTCATCAAACTGAAAGGGTAACATCCAAAAATCAGCAAAAAATGTCACTTATATTGCGTAAATTGCACACCCAGCAGGAACCTTAAGTTACCATGTTGACTAATTTTGAATGATCTTATATATTTTTTCATATACAGTATAACTTTACAGTACAATTTTACTCGGAAAACATAATCTTTAATTAAATTGAAAGCAAGTAGCACAAATAAATGCATACATTTTGCTTTAACAAAAGTTAAGAGGAAAATCACACGGTATACAGACACTTATAATTAAATCAAGTATAAAAATGAACTTACAAAGGAAGCAAACACAACCTGTGTTACATACAAATGCAAAATAACGCGCCAACCCGCCAACAACACAATGTCTATCCGTCCGACGTCAGACAGTTAGCCGATCTGCAGTTGAAATGCTACTAGGCGCGCACAAACAAGTTTCTTGAAATCTGCGCCTTAGCGTACTTTCAATGCTTGGCTTCCAGCGCCTTTTGGAACGTTAGGTGAGAGTCCTTTGGTTGTAAGTGTTGTAAGATTTCGTGCTTTGTTTCTTGGGCACGTTTCACGTAAGTTAATAGTGTTTTAAATGTAGTCATTAATTTTAATGTGAACTAATTTTTCTTAGACAAACTAGTGAAAGAGTTCTCTTTTCCAAAATTTCTAGTAAAAAGTATTTTCGGATTTAATACATTTTCAGTAAAAAATTAATTGTTAACTCTGTATTTGTCTTTAAAATATAAAATTTAAGAACTTTATTTAGAAGAAATGAAATACAACCCCCTAAATATAGTTCATAGATATATCTATGGTATAGTTCATAACCGGCAGGTCGCTATATCCGACATTCCGAGGTGGGTTATAGCTTCGCTCTCCGTTTCCTTGCGTTGCTGCCACCCCGCTACTGTACCGAGTTCATCGACCTCGCCTCACGGGCTCTGGGTTGTTTCTTTCTTTGGCTTTCGCCTCGCAGAAGCGTCGCCTTAACTCCACAGCTGCATCCTTCGCTGGATAAAACAGGTCGTATTTTATTCTTTCTTCTGATTCTCTTTATTCACCGTGCTGATAAGGGTACCTTCGGGTACGGCCTCTAGTTAGGCTTTTTCTCCAACCTATTTGCCTCACATGATTAATCAATATGACACAACAAACATGGAAAATTTACCTCCAAACTCTGAAAATCCTCACATGAGAATCTCAATAATGAACACAACGTTCTCCAAATATTAAGTCACAAAATTACTTTATCCAATGACGTCGAAACTACCAGTTCCTTGGTGGAAGATATCCAAAATACCCGTAAGACGCAAATGTGATTATGTCCGCTAGTGATCAAAAAGACTAAACTTTCTCCTTGTAAAAGCAATTAATCAACTGCGTATGCAGGAAAACGAAATGGCCAATACAAAAATATACGAATTACAAGCCTCTAACGAAAAGCTCAATAAAAAATTTGAAGAGATTAAAAACTTCTGCGACATACTTCAATCCACTAGTGGTTTCAAAGAAAAAGAAAATTGCGTCATAGACAAACGGATTCTGACTCCGATGAGGAGCCTTCCCTCAAAACCAGCAATCAATATAAACAATTAAAGAACCAAATAGACGACATGCATTTGGACAACGAAGATGAATCAGCCACTCAGCTCACTACCACCCCAAAAGACCAACTAAACAAAAGTGACACCATTCCCGCAAATAGAAAACCAAACTCCAGCCCCAAAACAAGCAAAATTGATAAAGTGCCCATTATTGTCGTAGATGACGTACCAAAAGCGGGTGAATTCTTAAAAAAACTTAAACAAGCAAACAGGAAAAGTGATAACTGGCACCTTAAAAGGACGCCGCCTTGAAATACAGCCTGCAGACTCTGATTCACATCCATTCATTCGCAAAATATTTGAAGAAACAAAGCTTAAGGCCCACACCTACTTATTGCCCGAAGATAAAGTTTTAAAAGTCATAATAAGAGGCTTACCCATCACCACAGATTCCCAAACCCTCACTCAAGAACTACTTGACAAAGGATTCAAGGTTAACTCTATTATACTATTAAGAAACAGAAAAGAAAATAAACCAATGCCGCTTTTCTTAGTTTATATACCAAAATCAGAAGAAAATAAGGAAGTATTAAAAATCAAACGCATAGGTTATATGAACGTATCAATAGAATCATTACGCAAGAAACCTGGCCCTCCACAATGCTACAAATGCCAGGGATTTTTTCACAGTTCCCTGCTCTGCACCAGAGACTGGGTTAAGAAAAATGGATTCTCTCACAAAAACGTGTAAAAATTAAGATATGAATAAAAAGAATGTTATTAACGTTGTCACGTCTACCAAAAGAACTGAAATATGAATCTAATTTTTAAAAACTATTTAAGATTTAATTACGCTTCTTATTAAATTTACTGGTTGTTCTTTTCCAGTTTTACTCTACGTCAATAATTTTACATGATAAATTACTTGTCATTTTCTGATCTAAAATTGTTTCTGTTTTTTTTATTCATGAAAGAAATATTAGTTCATTTGAAGATTGTGAAAATAGTTAATGTTTACATTTCAGTAAACAGGTCACCTAATTCGAAAAATACTTTTCTTGCTTATAGCTGAAAATACTGATTTGTGTTGTTTCTGTGTTTATTTGTGCAATTTTCTTATTAACTTCTTTAAATCGGCCAGTGGCGTAGCAAGCATAACTGGCGCCCGGGGCAAAATACCTTTGTGGCGCCCGCCCCCACAAAAACTTTCAGTAATATAATATATATAATATTTTCGTAATAAGAAAATAATGCAAATAATAATAAAATGCTGAATCTGCCATAAAATACTAAAAATATATTAAGAATAGTCACTACCTAACTACACCGCTTGGATTCGGAAATACATCTGTGTCGGCGGAAAAATCAGACATACGATGATCTAGAATTAGTTAAAAAGGTGTTATTTATTTTACATATTTATATAAGTGTTTTTAAAAAGTACAGTTTTGAAACAATTAAAAGATTAATATACATTATAGATAAATAAATATGTGGCAACTTGCCTACTACAACTCAATTCTTCCAGTCTGGTAACCCATAGCAACCAAAAGCAAAATAATATTTATTCTATTCAATTGTTATAATTATTTAACGATCTGTCTAAAATAATTGTACTTCCATAATTGGTGACCCGTATTTATTACGAATAGCAACCTTCAATGTTGCACGAATATGGAGTTTATATGTAAAAATTCTGAGCAGCAGTAATTTATCCATTGTGATGAGATGCAGGTAAGACATTTCACCTGACATTTCAAGCGTTGTGCAGCATTACGGTGAGTCAACATATTTCTGTCATAATTTCAACGGATATATGTATCGTCTGCTGCATTTGAGCCGCCAATTTCTCTGATTTCAAGTACCAAGAAAGTGTGTCACTATATACATATTGATTATTTTTCTATACATATTATTATTGTGCATATTTGATTGATCTAAAGTGGTTCACAACGATCCTGCTTCACAATTGGCACGAGTGGCAGTTAAGACACCGTCCTTTGTCGCCGAGACCCATCGTTATGGTTCATTCAATTGGATGCTCGTTGAGTCACATTACTGCCGACGAAACTTAATTTTATAGAGCTATCGCCCCGTTAAGAGGTTATCATGTATGGCTACAGTCCCTGCTAAACGGGACTTTTCTGAGAAACGAGATTCTGGTAGCACCGGTTTAAATAGGAGTATTCCTAGGAAAAAGAGCCCCGCTGGAAGTGAAGTCCCGCCTAGCTACAGAAAAATGTTGCGGTTACGCGGGATTTTTTCAAACCTCACGGAAAATGTCTCGGCTGGACCTCAGTCCCGGGTACAGACAACCAATCAGACGAAAGTTCTGCTTCTGAAGGCTCACGTGATCCCAATTTGAGCGATAATCGATTACTCTTTGGCGTTCAAGGTCTTTGTAGTAAGTGAGAATGGTAATCTAGTTACGTGGGTTTCCTGTGCGGATGATTGGGACCTTAGAATCAGAGGTATTGCAATCAGGTCGTAAAATAATTTTGAATCCACCGGCGATGGAAATATACAAATCTTTAAAAAAAAATTAATTTCTGTTTATGAAGAATCCGAGACAGTTAAAATCAAGCAGTTTTTGCACGATTTACGGTTGGTGATATGAGGCCTTCTCAATTGCTGTCTGAAATGTCAGACTTAGCCGCCGGTAACCTAACGAATAACATTCTTAAAACATTATGGATGAATAGATTGCCATCTATCATGCAAACTATTTTAGCGACCAGTAGCGAGCCACTTAAAAATCTTCCCGAAATCGCTGATAAATTTCAGGAGCTGGCTATTCCAGCACAAATACACGCAGTGCAGGCTCCTGGTCCAGGTATTGTGTCGTTACAGGCTCAAATTGGTGATTTGTTCAAACAGGTTGCTCAGTTAGTAGCCATCCAATCTCAACCCTTTCAGCGCAACGGCTCCACATCCCGTGGTCGAAATACACATCGTAGCCCACTGAGGAAACGTTATGAAAGCCCTCCAACGGGTATTTGTTTTTACCACCAAAAATATGGAAACAAGGCAAACAAATGCCGCTAACCGTGTCGTTAAAACGACCAGGGAAACGAGAAAGGCCGTTGCTCGAAGTTGTGAACGACAGCGGCCGGAATTTTGCACGCCTTTTCGTCATCGAAAAGAATTCGGGCTTAAGGTTTCTTGTAGACACCGGGGTTGATATTTCTGTCGTTCCACCACATTTTCACGAACAAAAGCGCCTTACCAAGTTACAACTTTATGTAGCAAATGGAACTCCTATTCAAACTTTTAGTGAACGCCTGATATCTCTTGATTTAGGATTGCGCCGCAACTTCCAATGGCCATTCATTATTGCTACTGTTTCAAGTCCTATTATTGGCGCTGACGTTTTTCAAAAATTTTCTTTGTTTTTCGATCTTAAGAATCGCCGTTTGATAGATTACACAACCAGCTTAACTTATCCGGGAGTAATTCGCAATAATCAAGATTTGAGCATTAAACTGATTTCGGGTAACTTCCCATGGCATCAACTTCTCAAAGAATTCCCTACAAACATGCGCCCATTTATGGATATTTTCGGACCCAAGCACGATGTATTACATTATATTGAAACTACCGGACCTCCGATTGTCGCTAAACCAAGACGCTTACCTCCGGACAAGATTAAAGCCGCCAAAGAGGAATTTCAATACATGATGGAACAGGGAATTTGCCGTCCTTCAAAAAGTTCTTGCGCTAGTCCGCTCCATCTAGTTCGGAAACGAAAAGGTAAGTGGCGATTATCGATGGTTAAATGCAGCTACAATTCCTGATCGTTACCCAGTCCCTCACATTCAAGACTGTATGCAAGTTTTAGAGTGAAAAGCCATTTTTACAACCATTGATCTTGAGCGGGCGTATCACCAAGTGCCCGTTAATCCAGCTGATATT